TTATTATTTTACTTTGGATGGAAATATTGAGATATGTAAAGTAATATTAATGTATGCAATTTATTTATTTATTGTCTAAAATCATTGATAATGATATTTTGTTTTAGTTTGCAGTGATATAAAATTTCAACTTTATATAAAAATAAGATAGTATATGAATAAAAGCTTACAAAATATCATAATTGATATAGTTTGGTTTAAATTGGGGGGAAAACTAAACGAATTTAATTAAATACGATCAATATAAATTTCAGTTTACCTCAAATCTGAATGAAAACCCAAAAACACCCTTATGATAATACTCTTACGTGGTTGTACCTTTCTTGATGATCTTGTATCGACTTGGGACTTCACATGCACGTTAAAAGAAGAGAAAACGAGTTTTTTAAGTTGCATTTTTTTTTTAACTTAAAAAATGATTAGTAATTAATAATCATATGACAAGCAAGAAAATCAGCGATCTTTATTTGTTGGTGTCATTCAGCTTCATTTTAAAAAATAAAAATAACGTATTTTTTTATTTTTAATTTATTATATATATTTTGTCGTCAGCACTTTATTAAAAATAAAGTTTGGCGTTACTCCTTAATAAAAACTGATGTTACGAATGTTGAGGAAATTATAATTGGATTTAGCCCGAGTTACTGTGGGCCTGACCTAATCCTGTGTAGCATTTAAATAGGGCATAGCCTCTTTGACCGAAAAATGTAAACTGGGCCTAACCGCTGACATGCACATAAATTGACGAAAATAAATACCTAGCCCCGTAGGGACGAAACCAAAATATCTTAAAGTTAATTCTAATTAGTTTAAAAATATTAAAACTAAATAATTTTATATTAAAAATGAAAAATAAAATAAGTATTTTTTTTATCAAAAATAAATTTAAAAAATATTTAAAATCGATTTTAAGCTCTAAAATTAACAAACTTATTTCCTTATTCAAGAAAAATTACTTATGTACTACTTCAACAAACTACCAGTTAGTTATTTGAGACTCTTTAATCACATCTAACGCTGCCTTAAATTTCTATCATTTTAGCCACACACTTATTTTAAAATATTTATGTTAAATAAAATAAAATAGTTTGAATTAATTTATATTTTTATTTTAAAGTTTTTATATTATAAAAAATTAACAAATTGTCATATTTTATTAAGATTTAATATTAAAGTAAATTTAAAAAATTGAACTAAAAAATATTAAGGCACAAAGTTTTGGAAATGGTAAAAGGAGAAATTATTAAAAAAAGATTTAACTCCTTTAAAGTAAAAATATGTGTTAAATAAAAAAGTGATGATTGATTTATCATTGATTTATATTTTAAGTATTTTATAAATATAAATAATTATAAATTAATAGTAGATAAATTCTCAAATTTTTTACTTTCCACACCTTTTAACTTGAGAGGAGTTAAATAATGAAAAAAAAAATTAAAATTTGCTAGTTAGAATAACATTAAAAAAATACACTAACAACCACATGTTTCGATACCTTGTCAAATAAATATGTATTTGTTAAATAATAAAAATATATTTCCAATCCCGTTCTGATTTGCCGGTCTTTCCTTCTTGCCGTGTTTAAAAGAAACATTAATGTGCCGAAGAGTTTATTAAATTCTCATGGTTTATACTCTCATTAACCATTTCTGAAAGCTGTACTGTGGTATTCACCATTATTTTCTTCCAACTTTGTCCCTCTGCCTCACCATTATTGGATACACACCTTTTTCACTATAGGTAGTTAATAATAATAATAATAATAAAATTTTATTAAAAAAGATAAATATTTATTATATTTTTATAACTTTAATATGTATTTTTTTATAAAAAATTTATATTTTCTATCATAAAATACATTTTTTCAATACATATCCTTGTTTTTGTCATGTAATGGTTTTCTCTCGCCTATTTGTTTCACTCATTATCAGAATGTTTAGTTTTAATTATATATAAAATGTTGAAACTCTAGTTTAGACAAAACTTGCAACTTGTAAGCCTCTTGACTGCTTTGCTCCAAACACGATTTGGGAATTTTAAAAATAAAATAATCTCATATATAAGTTTTAAAAATATCCATGAACGTTTGTTTGTTTTTTTTCATTTTAAGAAAAACATGTTTACACATTTTCTCACATTATTATTCTCGCAGTGAGGGATGGATATGTTTTTTCAATCTGAAGTTTGATTGTTGCAAGCTGATGCTCCAATATGAGTGATTGTTTTTAAAGATGCCAAATGAGGAATAGGCAGATGGATATGGCCTTATGAGAGTTTGATTTGTTGATGTTGGCATTTTAGTCCTTAACACAGAATAAAAGTGGAGTTCTTTTCAGAGCACCAGCATCGATCTTGTGGGTCTCCCAATCAGCATTTCAGGTCCATTTTCCACCACACTTTCTCCTCACAGAACCACATTTACAAAAAAATGAAACATCATAGTCCCCTCCTCTGGCATATAATTCATGGTCATTCCTTTAAGTACCAATTTTGTTCTTGCTTGCAAATTATTATTTTTTGTATCAATAGAATATCAATGTATAATTGTCATGTCGTGGTCGCGTGACAGCTTATATTAACCAGTGATTAATAATTAAAATCGATCAAGGCTCTTGAATGTGGTTTTTACTTTCCAGGAAACTCATTTTAAATATTATAAAAAAATATTTAGTGGTCACACACACAAAAAATAAAGTATATGTCAATTTGTAAAGTTTTCGAAATAATGAAATGAAAGCTATAATTCACCCCAAATGAAATGACTATTAACACGTGATTAACTGTGCCGTTTTACCTCTTAAAAAGCAATCTGATTTTTTAAAGTAAGTTAAGTTCAATCCATATACTGTCAGATTTTACAGGAAAAAAAAATGTGAACATGGTTACTATTTCTTTCTTAATTTATGGGAAACATAATCACATGATTAAATCGAATAATCATATATTATTTTTATTCTTCGCAAAACCGCAAAAAAACATGTGATTAACACGTCCAAACAACTCATCCTCATCTTCATATTTTATAAATCTGAATGACTTGAAGCCAAGGTCTCTCCTTTTTATTTGTTTTTGTTTTAAAAAAATCTATCGCTATCAAGTTGCCGAGTCAAACAAACCAAAGCAACGTGTTCCAGCAACTCTTCATGAATTCCCTTCGGCGCGTTTACCCACGCTCTATGATGCTGCGTTTCTCAGCGTCTCACCAATTTAAAAATTCAAAATACAGAAGTAATTATAATGTGGGGATTCGTGTGTTTAATGTTTATCAGCTTCTCTGTCTATTTTCATCGTCAGATATTTTCAGATGATCGATAAATAAATAAAATGGATATTTATTTTGAGAACCGCTTCGTTAACTTTATTTCATACAGTTGATTTTAAGTAATAAAATTAGTACCTTTTTTTAAGACTATTTATTGTATCAAAAATGTTAAATATAAAAATACTTTTAAATAAAATTGCATTGTTATTTATTATTTAAACTCTATAAATTAAAGGTTTTTTCTTTTCAATGTGTAGGATAAGATAAGAAAGAGACAGCTTCCACTGTTCACTGTACTGCCTCAAATCACACTCGTCCACGTGTACCGCACTCTCAAACTATCACACGTGTCATCTCGTTGATAACGAATCCGAATGCCTTGGTTTCTACCAATCGTAGATCCTCTGCTGTGATCAGTTTCATGGGGTACGTCATCCATTTTTCGGATATCAGAACACATCATCATTCGTTAATCCTTTTACTGCTTATTTATTATTTAGTTATATTCATATATTATTTTTTAATAAAAATATTTTAAATTATTAAATAGAGATAAAAAGCATACATGAACTAATTTTAATTATGTAATTCTATTAAAATGCGCATTTTTAATAAACCGTGTGGAAAATAATTTATAAACCCTAAATCAGATAAACTCATTCCCATTGCAAATTTCACTCTTCTCGCATTGACATAGGTCTTTCGTATATATATACATATCAAAATGTGGTGGGGTGCTAAAAATGTATAAAATTAGAAACATAAATTATTAAATCAAGAATAAAATTTATATAACTTTTATAATTTATCATAAATTTAATTTAATTAATAATGAAATTTAATTTAAAAATTAATAATATTTGTCATTAAAAGCATCTTTCAGTCAACATTTAATATACAATTTAACATCTTTCAGTCAACATTCTCCTCTAAAGACATATTTTGTATACACATAATTAGGATTCAGATGACAAAACCGACAGAAATGTAATTATTAATAATATTTGTAAAGCCGAAACAAAAGACGTTACAAGCAATTAAAGCCCAAGCAATATCGTGTAAAGCTTGACGATCCAGATGAAAAATATAGCTTTCTTACACTGGATTAATGATTGTTAGGAGTTTAATTTGTAAAACCAGTCTAATAATTAAATCAATATTTAGCATATTTTAAACTACATTTTATCACAACATTTTAAAATATTAAGCAAAAAAAATCTATCATTTAGTATTGTGTAATAAATCAACAATTTTGTTACGGTTTTTCTTATTCAAGTAATGGGAATAAAAAGAATATATAATAAGTTATAAATTCTAAACTCAAATGTTATTTTAAGTAATGTCTAAAATAATTCTATAAAATAGTAAGATAAGTCTATTTATTAAAAATGTTCGTTTTGTTAAATAATTATAAATCAACTGTCGTGTCTTATCAGGGATATTGAATATATTGATTATTTATTAAAAAATGAAAATGGTGTTTGTGTATTTTAAAAAATTATTTTAAGTGTTTTTTTTTGTTTTAAGATTATATTTTTTTGAAATGTGTTATATATTAAATATATATATATATATAATATTTTTTAAGTTTTTAATTTAATCTAAACTAAAGTTTAAATATTTAAAAAGAATAATCTTTTTTTAACTTTAAACGATTAAATTCAAATTTAACGACTCTTTTCTATGTAAAAATTTAATTTGAAAGAATGAAAACTTAACAACAAAAAGGAAAAAACTGAAGGGTTTAGCGTCTGGTTGGGCGTCAATATTCAGAGGCAGATTCGGCCATTAATTAATTTCCGTTATGAATTGGTTCCTTTGGCATTCGTTCGTTGCACTTTGCACACTTAAAAGTTCAAGCCTCATTTCCTCTCTCCGGTACTCGATCGAAATTACCACTGTGCCCTTCGTCCCCACCTGCTACCTCCACTGTGAAACCAGACCAGATCCATTTTCTGACTCCCTCCACGTTTCCCTTTTTATTTAACTCTAAGACCCATCCCTTTTTTCTTCTCTTTCCGATTCAAAAAACAACAACACTCTACTCTAACTAACCCATCTTCTTCATTTCCCGAAACCCTAGAATCGTAACACATCCTCCTCGTTCTTTTCCAATCCCCACAAAGCTTATCCGAAATACCGTTGACCATTCTCCAGTTTTATCCAATACCCATAAATAAAGTCCCGTTTTTGCTTTCTGGGTCGTGCTTTTCTCCAATTTTTCATCTCTCTTATTCGGTATAGGAATGTTGGGTACTGGTTTGAACTTCGGCCGTGCTCGTGGAGAGGATCGATTCTATACTCCGGTGAAGGCTCGCCGGAACTTTCACACGATGGAGAGTGACAAGTTGCGTAGGGCCCACAGCGACGTCACTGCGAGTCGGTCGTCGCCGTCGGTGAGAGACAAATCGGTGGATTCGGTCAGCAGGGAACCCGAGAACCGGGTCGGGTCGGAAGAGACAAAAAAGGTAGTTGCAGTGCCTTCGTGTGAACCGGTGCTGAAACAGTTGAGCAATTTGGAGCGGTTTTTGCAGGCGATCACGCCCTCTGTGCCTGCTCAGTATCTCTCTAAGGTTAGCTTTTGAGTTACTAGAGTGAGTGTTTTCAATGATTTTAACTGGGTTGGTGGTGAATTGTTAAACCGTGTTTCTTTTATTTAGTGTATTCGTGTGCAATCGGGTTGGTGGATTAATTGAAATTCGTTTTAAAGTCTGTATCTTTTGTTTGTAACTGATGCATTCAATGGGAACGTTTAACATTTATTTATAAAGGACAAAGGAATGGAGAAGATATTTAAAATAGAAAAAGAAGCAAATTTCACATCTAAAAGAAGGGAAAAAATTGAAGACATTTTTATGTGTTCTCTCTCCCCCCCCCCCACCCCCTCCTCTTTTGCGCGGGAGTAGTGTGGTTGTATATGTTTTTTTTGGGGGGGCTCAGTATTTTGATTGTAAATTGGATCTTGCAGAGATCTATGAGAGGGCTCAAGGCGTGCAATGGGGAGTTTCAGCCTTACTTTGTTCTTGGTGATTTGTGGGAATCGTTCAGGGAGTGGAGTGCATATGGTGCTGGTGTTCCGCTTGTACTAAATGGCAATGATAGTGTTGTTCAATACTACGTTCCCTATCTTTCGGGTATTCAAATTTATGCCCAGACCATGAAGCCTTCTGTAAAGTCAAGGTATATTGCTTTCTCTGGACCATGTTTGGAAACCTAATTTTTGTGATTTTTTGAGAGAGTGCAAGTCAAAATACAAGCCAAACAACAGGGCAGTTTTGGGTTAGATAGGATGCAAATTTTATTCGGGGATTATGGATTTAAGTTTGTTGCAGCCTGATGGATAAAATTAATGTTCGTTTTAGTTTTCTACCATTTTGATTTCCTTGAGACAATGATCTTTACTGCTTGCATAACATTGATTGTTACTTTGTTGTATGCTTTATGCTAAGAGATAGGTACTATCTGGTTTTCTCTGTTCTTAATTTTTGCGGGTGCACAAGGTCAATACTGCCTTGTTTTCTGAGGGTTAGCTACTTGTATTACAGTATTATATTTGGTTCTTGTATAGGCAACTAGGGGAGGATAGCGACAGTGATTTCAGGGACTCAAGTAGTGATGGTAGCAGTGATTGTGAAGCTGAAAGAGAATTGAAATACTCAAGGGAACAAAGGAATCTTCCCCATCTGTCAGATGAGGTACCTCATTGGATGGGTAGATTATCTTTGAGAGACCATCCTTCCCTCCCACAAGATGGATTTTCTAGTGATGATGGTGAATCTGCCAATTCTCAAGGCTACTTGATTTTTGAATATCTTGAACGGGACCCTCCTTACAGCCGTGAGCCTTTGGCTGATAAGGTGTGCGAACTGACACTACCCTGCCATATTCTTGCCTTCCCCAGTTCCCCTCTTGTACTGGAACCGAATTTTGGTCATTTGTTATCTCTGTTCCTTCTTTGTCTAGCTTTTTGATTTCATTTTATTTTTGTGCGGTGGATAGATAACAGACCTTGCTTTTTGTTTCCCTGAACTGGTGACGCTTAGAAGTTGTGATATACTAGCATCAAGTTGGATGTCTGTGGCCTGGTATTCTTCTTTACATTTGTGCTTTGAAATTCAGCTTACACATGCCTGAGAGGCTTACCTGTTCTCTGTTTTGCTTGTAGGTATCCAATTTACAGGATACCGACTGGTCCAACATTAAAAGATCTTGATGCTTGCTTCCTGACATACCATTCTCTTTGTATGCCTGTAGGAGGTAGGATCGGTTTTTGCCTCGTTTGTGTCTAGTGGATTTTGCTTTATAACAAAGTTTGAGAAAGATAATTCCTTGGTTCACAATCATCTGAATATATGGCTAACGGCTTGGCAGCTGTTAATTGTGATCTTTCTTCCATTATTTTGTTCTTACTTCTTGATATGAATAAGTGAGTACCACAGTGCATCTTATTGTTTTAAATTTATTGGCTTAGAAAGATATTTTTAAAAAAATGGTTGTCATCCTTCTGTCATTTGTTTAAAATTGTGAAATTGTTATTTTGGACAAGTTAGGGTTCTTCATTATCTTCTACTACTAAGAAGACCTGCATATTTTATCATGGGAACATGTTTCTATTTAAGGATACGTTACCAATTATTGGTTTACAACAGAAATTATTGTGAGATGCCACATCTGATAACCATAGTCCGTTTTCTAATTTGAATCAGTTGCTTCACTGAGACTTTTTTTTTTTCAGGTTCACAAAGATTGCAGCCCCCCATGCCATCATATCCTACAGAGGTGGACCGTGTCCATAAATTGTCCTTACCTGTTTTTGGTCTTGCTTCATACAAGTTCAAAGGATCTCTGTGGACTCCTAATGGTGGATATGAGCGCCAATTAGCCAGCTCTCTTTTGCAACATGCAGACAACTGGTTAAGACTGCATCAGGTCAGTCACCCAGATTTCCTGTTTTTCAGTCGCTGATGATGATAAGGTGACTATAACTGTTTACTTCACCCATTTAAGAATGAGACCTTGGCATTTGCCAGTACCTCCTTTGGTCCATTTCTTAGATGTTATACTTGATGAAGTCGGAGTTAATAACCTGTTTGACAGAAGGAAAAAAAAAAAAAGGAAAAAGATGCTAAGCTTCGTCCTTTGTAATTTCCTGCATTGTTTCCTGTTGTAATAAGTGAAAGAATCAGAAAACTAATGGTAATAAAGCAGCGAAGCTCTGGACAAGTGGCAGTGTTGAGGCTACTTCAGAATGTGTTCATGGTGGATGTAGAGATTAACGAGCAGCTTCACAAGTGCTGGCTGATATATGTTACAAGGTTGTTTTGTTTGCTAACATCAGTGAGTCCAATGTCAGTTGTTTCATGTTCATGTCCAACTATATTTTATTTTGGTTTGGTTTTGTTTAAGAGAACAGGATGCATTTTTTCTGTCCTGGTGATCACTATATAGGACTTAGCTTTAATTTATTGGGGAATTTTATTGGATTTGGTGTTAGGTGTACTCCTATGCTTGACTTGCCCCCAACACTGTATTTGAAATCTTATAGTTTCGTTTATTAGCTGCATTTTACCTGTAAGAACTCTTTTTTGTTGAGTTTCACGATACCAATGAAGGGTTCCTTTGCCTTTTTAGATAATGGCAGAATTCATGTTGGAAGAAGTGATAACAAAATTGATTTGTATTCAAAATGATATTTTAAATTGAGTTTAGAAGAATTAGTTTTGTTTTGGTGGTAAAATAAATCACTTTTGAATTACGTGTAGAATTTTATCTACAAATAATTCTACTTAATGATAAGGTTATCATTTTTTATTCTTCACAAAAATTGTCCTCACTGCATGATCTTTTTTTTATCTAATTTAAAAACTAACTAATCAAAATTAATGCTGTTTGCAATCATTTTAATGCAGAACGGGCTAGTAATTGTTCTTAGGATGAAATCATATGGTTTTTAATCATTTTACATATTTATTATGGTAATGATAATTTGTTATTAGAAAAGTTGACTCCTAACTGCTGGTTCTGCCATAACTTGATTCGCGAGGGATACTGGTGTTGCCATAATGGCTTTTTTAAAAATATTCTTTTAACTAAACATTAATTTGAACGATATCAACTAAACCTCCGTGGGAGATATCTACGGAGATTTTGTGGTAGGTTAGTGAATTTTTACATAGTTGTTTAGCGAGTTATTTGGATTGAGTACTGTTGGTCCCCCTATCTTGTTGAAGCTAATAATTCAATTTGGCCCATGTTAGTGACATAGGTTACATGAAACGTCGCCTTGCTCGTTTGAGATTAGAAAAAGCTAATACATCTGTTTTATTTCCAGAGATTAGACAACTCTGTTTTGGCCTTTAAATGCTCTCTTTCTCTCTCTCAAATAATACAATATTTTAGACTTGCTGTAAAAATTTTCACTAATGGTTTTTATAGTAGCTTTGTTGTACTAATGTCTTTAATCATTACTGATATTGAAGGGTTCTTTGTAAGAGTAAATATCACTACTACATTTACCGAGATTGAAAGTTTGTCATCAACGAAATCGTCCTTTCATAAGCAAGGTGTGAAAATATTAACGAGTCCTATACAAAAAAATTGAAAAGGTCCAGTTAATAATTTACTAATAGAAGTTGGTAACCAAATCCGTTTACAACTAGTGTAACTTTTGTGGGGACGTGCCAGTGATTAATTCATAGAACAGAAGTCCTGAAACATGTGCTTAATGTTGATTTCTAGTTTCATTATACTGACGGAAATGAATAGCCCCTTCATCAAGGAGAGGCATAGAGAGAAATAAAAATCAGCATTTAACCAACAAAACCAAGGATAATGCTCTTTCTTTGAAATTTGAATGAAACCACTAGAGAAAAGGGAGAAAAAACAAGGCGGCCAAAGTAACAAAAAATAAAATAAAATTATAAAGATGTCTACATACTAATAATTCTTCATTTTACTGTCAAGAAAATCAACTTTCTTCTTCGTATAGCTCATGCATCTTACTCTCCAGTGTATCATAACATATCTGACGCATTGATCCGTAAAAGGACATCAATTCAGATAACTGTTCTATCGACATAGTTGCCATCATAGTCCTAGCAACCTTTTCCCTCACCTGATTCATTTTCAGCTTGTGCGTATAAACTGATCCATTTCGAACTGTTGCACCAACTTGCTTTAGTCTATTCTCCTGCTGCCAACTCAATGCTATATTTGCCTGCAAGCAAGCACTAGCACTATTAATTGAGACAATACATGGTCATAAAACAGATTGGATTGAGGAATTTATTGAGAAAATAAACAGGCAGAGTCATATAGCCTGTTTTGTGAACATTCAATAATGACATAAATTAGCATCTTATAACTAAGAGCACCTTTTCATTTAGCTAACAATTATGGTTTGTTTGTCTAGGTACCTTAATCAGTTATGTAGGACAGTGGATAGGATTGTATAAGAATACCATACTTTACCTGCATCGACTTGTAGTTTGGCTTAAATAAACACCAATGGTTTTGGAAATTTTGCTTCCCCTTCATATATTTTTCTGTTACTATTTCATAAATTAACAAAAAATAACCATTTTAGGAAGGCGGAATTTTAACCTTGCCGTAGTTAACTTCTCTGTTTATGTAAATGGTGGTACCGCATTAAAAATTTTAAAACCACATCACATCACCTAATCTATGTATGGGTAAAGTGTGATTTGTCATGTTAAATTAAGCTTTTGAGTAACCTGTAAAAAGTCTGCTCCTGCTTCAAGTTCAGAGCTTTGGTCCGCAACCATTTGAGAATCAGATTTATAAATGTTTCTTGCGACTGAGAAGCTTTTCAGGATGGCTTTTCTCTTTAGCTCCATTTCGGCACTAAGCTTTGTGGACCTTGGCACATACGTTGTTGAGCAGCTAAGTTTTTTCTCATAAGCAATTACAGCCTTCACAAATTCCTATTTCACAACCAGGAACAGAAAGGCTCAAATTTTTGTTTCTTTCTTATAGCAACTTACATACATTGCAAGATAAGTAGGGAAAAAATGCACTTCAAGATAGCATTATTACCTGATAAGCCATGCTGCATCCAGGATAATCAAATTCATCACTGTCTTGGTGTCTCATTCTCTCTGGATGAAATTGAAGGCCCACAATAAACTTGCCATCTTCAGGATTATAAGTATTTGGATCATAAAATCCTTCAATCAATCCATCTGAAGCAAATGCTAATGGAACAAATCGCTGAGCCAGTCTCTTAACACCCTGGTGGTGGTAACTATTCACCATGATCTCCATTTTCTCATCTTCCAAAGATTCCTCAAACCAATTATGTAAGGGGGTGTTAGACGCTAACTTTATCAAATGACGATGTCCATCGTAATTGTCATAGTTAATATGAGCCACTCGTTGAATCTCTGTGCATTTCCCCAACAACTCTTTCTCTATATCTTGGTAAAGTGTGCCCCCACATGAAACATTTAGGATTTGAGACCCCCTGCATATGCCCAGAAAAGGTATATTTCTTTCAAGGCAGAGCTTTGCAAGCTTTAGCTCAATGGAGTCTTTCTCTTTATCAATGGCAGTATCACTTGGATGAAGCTTCTTGATGAGGTCAAGCTCTTCAGGTAAAAGTCCAGACAGTTCTGAATCATAATGAGAGGGATCAATATCCTCACCTTCACATAGAAGAACTCCATGAATGGGCTCAAAGCTTTCTAAGAGAGTGTGAACCCCACCAACTCTTGGGACAATGACTGGAACAGCTCCATATTTTACAATGAGATCCAGATGATACTCACCTGTTCATTTTATTTTATTCCTGATTAGACTTCAGTGATGATAGACTTCATATATTGCAAAAAGATAAAAGGAAATTAGGCGGAAGAAATTTTTTTGTAGAAAATCAATTTAAATGAAGGATCTTATAATGTCATTGATAGGGTATTAAAATGAGAGAGTTCAAGGTAAAAAAAATATTGAGCAGATGCATGAATTATTCTCATTCATTCCTTTCCATTCATCGGGTATTTAGTTTTGCTAAAGCTGGGTCAAGTACCCTCGTTGAATGCTCACAATTCATGAATAATAATATCACACACAGTTGTTCTGAAACTGAAAGCAGTTTTCATTTAAGCAAAGCTCATCATTGACATGTGGAATAACACCTAAAAATTCGACATGTACCCCCCAAAAAAATTATAATTAGTCTACAGATTCCAAAACGTGCTTATTGAGAGGAGTTGGGTGTATTTGTAAACATAGATTTGCTAAAAGTCTTTTATATAGTTGAACATGTAATGTTATAATATTTTATTATGATTAGATGCTTCGGTGATTGATATAAACAGACACACGCTCAACACGATCTGTCAGAGTGACCCAATAATGGACTACATGTTTATCACACAAAAATAATCACTACAAAAGAGTTAAACACCGTGCAAACAAAAGCTAGCATAAAAATACAAGTGTGTGGCATTTCCTACAAGTACCAAGAAGAATACACACGATTGATATAACCACTTATTGCAACAATAGCAGCAAATAAAACACTCCAATTGTGTGGATGAGAGATTAGTGAGTGACGGACAAAGAGAGAGTGTTACCAACAAAATCTACAAACTTGTTCTTGCGAATGGTACGGCGAGAAACGATGAGAACTCTTGGCAAAAGCTTTGAGAGATCGGAATTGGCCATCACATAACAACAATGTGGGAACTATGAAAGCCAAAGAGGATATAAAATTATTGTTTACTCTTAATTGCAGCCTCTGAAATATCAATCATAGTTAATGCTAATTAGCTGATATAGAGGAAATGCAAAACATTTCCGGGACTTTCTATTTTCATGCTGATTTCCGTTTTATACTCCATTAGATAGCCTTAGAATCCATAAACTCAATTTCTTTTGAGTAATCTACGAGTAGTGACGTTTCTTTGTTCATTGAGATCGAGACATGCAAGTTGAGCTTTACTTTGTTGTGTGATTTTTTCGGAAACGTAAATGGATCATGGATCTGGATACTGAACTGTTATCAAAATTAAATACATATTGACATGTAAATCTAGTAAATTGACGTAATAATAAATCGGAGGGAATTTAGAATCGATAATTTCATTGACTAACTTGATTTGGTATCACCTAATACAGTAATTAACGCATTTGAATCTATTAATCTGATTTTTAAATGTTTTAAAGTTAAATTGTCTGTATTTTCGCAATTCATGAAAATGGGTGATTTGATTTGGATTTAATTTCAATTTTTTGAATTCAAAATCCTACCCTTATTCGTTCTACTTATTTAAATTTTAGACAATAAAATAAATTTTATTAACTTTTGAAGGTATTCTAAATAGTGTAAATGCTTGAATTTGAAAATCAATTAAATCTTACTTTTCCACTTCATGCTAAAGAAGAATATTTTATTTGAAATAAATGCAACCCAGATAAATGTTAAATAGTGTGCATTTCGAAATCCATGAAAATTTATTATAGTTAATTTGATTTTAATTGTTTTAATAAAAAATCTTACCCTAGTTAATTCATTCGTTCTACTTATGAAAATTAGGGATAAGAAAAATAATTCTATCCACTTTCAAGGAGTTCTAAATATTAAAATTGGTTTGTGAACTAATTTAAATCTTATTGGTCCAATTAATTTTTAAGAAGAAATTTGATTTGAATAAATGCAATCCAAATTAAATTAAATTTCATAATTTCAAACACAATTTGATACATTCCGATATTATAAATTAGATTTTTTTGATTAGTTTTTGTACTATAGACTGTTTACTTTTGAATACATGAAGTTGAGAAGAAACTACCAAGTACCTATATTAATTAATATTAAAAAAATCGTATAAAATACTATATTTTTAGGAAGATTTAAAAAAACAAAAAATTTTAAAGGCTTGTTTTTTAAAATTCTAGTTGACTTTTCTTTTTAATGAAAACGAAACTTAAAATGAGTGGAGACAAATGCTGTCTTTTACCAATTGTGGAAATCTACAAACTTCTGGTCGTAGGCTGGTAATGAAGAATGAGATGTTTAAAGGCTCGTTATAGTACTCTTTTTATAAAAGTGTGTATATATAATAAATTTACAAGTTTAATTTTTATGTACTGTTAACTAATTAAAATATAATATTTGAATGAGTTTACGATTAATTATTATAAAAGTCAATAATGTTATCCTTTTATTATAACTCCATCCAAATTTAACAAAATATGATGATATTAATAGTAATGCGTGTGTCCTTCTAAGCATAATTGAATTAAAATTGTGAAGAGATGCCACATGCAAAAAACCATGGTTCTATTTTTTTCCTGTTTACATTCATTGAAGTTTTAATTAATTAGGTGTTCAACAAATACATCATCATTATGCTTAAAAAAACACGTATTATTCGATAGCTCAAATTAAGGTTACTGATAATGTTACATTGCGCTAAATTTTGGATAATTGTAACATAAGGACCATACTGTTACATTTCAAAGAAATTAGGAACCGAATCTGTACACTTTTTTGGGTCAAGTAAAATTTAACAGTTAAAAATAAGGAAATCAAAATTATACAAGTAGTAAATAAAAGTAGAAAATTAATATAAAAAAATGAATAAAATTTAGATTTAAGTTTTTAAAAAAAGTAAGTGAGAAAGCTTTCAAAAAAACAAAGTAACATAAATTGAATTTGACCTATAAAAAATTGTTTTATTTTTTACTTAATCTTTGACTCCTATAAATATTTAATAAAAAATTTATCTTCTTCTTTTCTTTGTTTAAATCCCTTTCTTTAGGGTTTATCAATGATAAATTTATTTTAACTGGACCAATATCAAACTTAGGGCCCAAAAGTAATAGCTGTGCGAATTGCTGGATCAAAAGCGAGCATAATTGTTTGTACAGTAAAAACTGACAAGTCAGTCATCTGTTATTGGGCTTCATATATGGTGAATTGTTTTTGCTTTGGGCCTTTTAGCCTTCTAAAGTTGGCATCCAAAAACACTCTGTGGCTCCACCAAACTCTCCAGATGAAAAAAATAGCTGTTTATATAGATAAGTTTATTTCATGAGAAAAAAATTACTGGATTGGACTCAAATTCATTGGAAATATTAAACATCACTTTTAGATACTAATTTTTGTTATATTTGTAAACAATGAAATAACTTTTATCGTTTTTAAAAATTTGCTATTAAAAAAGGTACATGACGTCTATTATGTGTTATTTTTCTGTAAATAACGATTAGATAAGTGAACAACCGAGTAACTGAGTATGGGTAAACCGGTTAAGAAAGGTAATAAGATTTAAGAATATTACATACTATCTTGATCTAGATATTGGATATATGAATATGGTGACTACATATATTTTTTTTATTTTGACTATTTATATGTGGTTCTAGAGTAAAAATATTACTATTTTTATAATCTCAAAATAAGAAAGTTCTTATTATGTGTGTGTACAAGTAATTTTTACTCTTGTAAGTAATATTTTTTTTTCAGATAAAAGAAAGAGATAGCATGAGTGGAAAATAAGATGTAAGAATAATATTACTTATTTTTACGTCCACTACTCTGAAGTTCATAATTAGCTTGTGATTCTTTTGACGTGCTTGAGTATAAAAATAAAATTAAAAAAAAAAAGGCATTTCTTGGTAGGTTCCCTGGGTATCCAAAAAAATTGAGGTATAATTGTTTTTTCAATGTCATATATAAATAGTAAAAATAAAGTTAAAAATAGAAAAAAATTTATTATCACAAAATCAGAAACTGTTACTATGTTTAAATTTTTTTTAAAAAAAATGTAATTTTTAAAGTCTAATTTAAATATATACTCATTTTAAACCTGTTCCACTCATCATCGCAATTATTGCATCGGTTCCATTCCCTTGAAAATAACCCATTAACGGGTGAATTAAACTCATAATAATTTTTTTACTTTATAGAAAAAAGTTCTTAAAAAATGTTTTTCTAATTTAAACTATCCCAAACAAGCACTAAATAAACATAAACGCTAAACAAACTACAAGTATTCATTGTCTTTAGAAATTTTTAATTAAAAAATAAAAAATGATAAAATGTTAAGTAAAAATACAAGGAATAGGATAGCGGGGCTCGGACAAGACAGCCATGTTCCAGCTATTGTTTTGGCTTATTTTTCAATCGTAGTAAGTAAATGGGTCCCACAGCAAATCATAAGTAAGTAGGTGGTCCCACGACCGTCGTTTGGGTCACAGCTCCACTCAATCAGTTCATCTAAATCATTAGACGATTTGTCGTTTTTATTTGAGTCTGCTGTATCGTATGCTCTAACCCATCAATCTTGTGTGTATTTCCACACACTGTATCTAAATTTATCAACTTGACCAAAATTTAAATTAAATTAATTATATTAGTGTATAATTAATTTTCAAAACAATAAATTCAGCCACGTCTTAGTCGGATATCAAGTTTTCCTTTCTGTAACTTGACCAGTTTTACCTGATCTGGTCATACATAAAAAAATAATAACAAATACTTTTAAAGTATTGTATAATATTTGGTATAAGTTTTCAAATGTTATTTTTAAAATGTGACTCTTAATAAATAATTTGTTATTTTAGTTAAGTAAAGATATTTTATGTAAAATGTGATAATTTTTTAATTTAATTATTGTTAGATTTTATAAATTATAAATATAATGTCACTTTTTTTTTATTTCTTAACAAAGTTTATGTATTTAAAAAAAATAAAAGAAATAAATCACTTCATTTTTCAAATTATTAGGAGCAATTAGAATCGGGAGCATTGCAAGTAATCAAATAAAAAGAGAGGGATTTTTTTTTAAAAGGGAAGGATAATATAAGAATGAGAAAAAATTTATTACATAAAATGAGGATGAAATGGTTTACTGAAAAGTGAAGGGGAAAAAAAAGGAAAATTCAAGGGTAAATTTTGTTTACACATTTATTTACCATTTTAAAATAACTATACTGAAAAATATAAAATAATATATTGTTTTTTCATATATTTAATATAAATATTTAAATTTATAAAACATTTTCTGACATGAATATATAAAAAAAATAAAATTTATTTTATAATTATTAAAATAAATATATTTAGAAAGTAAAAAAGGATTTTGAAGGTGAGAAGGAGGAATAAAAGGAAAAGAAAGAGTGGGGGCGATATTTTGACGGAAAGGCGCAGCTAAAGCGAGTGTGAGGATGCTAAAGATATGAACATAGCAAGAAACGCTGCGTCACCAAACAAAACAAAACAAGAAAAGCCACTGAAGCGAGTGAGTGAGAGAGAGAGAGAGAGAGAGACACATCCAAATCATGGCTGTTTCTGTAACTATTTTAGTACTCATCATCTCTCTGCATCTCATAGCCTTCGTCTTCGCCGTCGGTGCCGAACGACGTCGTAGCGAGGTAACCCTATATCTTTCTCTTTCTCTTTCTCTTTCTCTCTCCTTTCGTTTCCTCTACTCAACTCTCAAATCACCTTTTCTCTTTTCAGGCTAAGGTCGTTCCCGACGAGTACGACGACCGAACTTTCTGCGTTTACACCACCGATGCCTCCACCGTCTACGGCTTAGCCGCCGTAGCTCTCTTGCTCCTCAGCCACGCCGTTCTTAACGCCGTCACCCGATGCCTTTGCTGCGGCAAAGGCCTCGTCTCCGGTTGCTCCGCCACTTGCGCCGTTATCTCCTTCGTCCTCTCTTGGTAACATTCCGTTAATCTCTCACGCGCTCCACTAATTTCCCCTTTTAAATCTATAGTAATTTATATTTAATTGTTTTAGTAGCAAAAATAAAACCTAGTAATAGATGCAGTTGTAAGACACAAAATTGAAGTGCAAAGTGAATGAAAAAGATGTTTTGATTATTATTATTATCATTATATTGTGAAATCAGGATTAGTTTTTTGGGAGCGGAAGCATGCTTGTTAGCAGGGTCTGCGAGGAATGCATATCACACAAAGTACAGAGGGGTTTTTGGGGCACATGATTTGTCTTGTGCTACCCTACGCAAGGGTGTCTTTGCTGCTGGGGCTACCTTGACCTTGTTGTCTATGTTGGCCTCTGTTTTGTACTACTGGGCACACTCCAAGGCTGACACTGGTTTCTGGGAGAAGCACCACAACGAAGGTCTTGGATTGGCCACACACCACCACCACCAAGGTGCTGACTCTGATAAGGCCTGAAGGGTTATTGGCTCAACATTTGCACAATTTTGGATTGGGGGTAAGGGAGGAACGGTGTGTTCAAAATCTTGTTCCTGTATTAATGGGTCAATATATAGTATTTATGCTGTAATAGGAGAATGTTTGAAACAATATAGATAGATGGTAATAGTATGGTGGTGGTTCAATATATTTCAATATCTTGTTTCAAAGTTTTGAAGCTTTCTGCGCATTCAACGTTTGGCCTCCTCCGGCTATCTGCTTTTTGTTTCTCACTTGTTCAGTTATTGTGATATAGAATTTACTTAGTAACTTGAGTAAATTTCTTACAAACCGAAAGTCTATAGAGTTTAGATAGAATGGTCGTTTAACTAGTCTCGGTGAAAACGGGTTATCTTGATATTTGAATGTGGGGTTAAATGGCCCTATCAAATAGCTGGGTTGAAATCTGATTTGTCGGAGACAAAAATTGAAATATCTAGACATTTTAGCATGTTATTATTATTATAATGGGCATGACATGTTTGCATATTTAAATCCAATACATTATTTTTTTATGGTTGAGATTATAAAGAAGGGAGGTGAATAAAGGAGACATACAACCGTGTGTTCGGCTTGATATGTGGGGATAGAAGAGTCTGGTTGATGTATGGATACGGAACGGATAGACTGTTGAGTTGGGTTTTGTGGTAACGCTGTTAAATCTTGTAATAAATATATATATATTAAAAGTCTTTTTCAATTTTATCAAATTATCACACTAAAATTAATAATTTTATTTACAGATTTACAAACATACCCTTGGTAATTGGTTCATTGTTTTCACTATTATTTCTTTTATCTAACAAGGAGGCATAAAATGAAATTGTATTTCTCAAAAGTTTCATTTCATTCACTCGTTATTTTTGAAAGGTCAAGAGAATAAATTTGAGCCCGTTAATTCAACAAAGATTAACCTTCAATTACTTTTATCATTATTTGGACTCTTATTGCATATGATTAAAAGAAATGCAAAATGAGAAACAAGACGAAGATAACATTAAGCAAATAGCTAAATGCAAAGTAATTGATTCAAATATATTCTTATTATCTTTTGATTTGTTTATTTAAATTTACCGTCAAACTACAAGGACCACAATCCACAAACGATAGCAGTTAATTCATTCATTCAGGACTGCAATTAACATTTACTCAGCTAGATATTCAAGTACGACTTGCTTTACTGAAATACTTACTTCAGCAGGAAATCTAATGATTGTCTCATAACTAGTTATGTAAAGAATTTAGTTATAATTTTAAGTTCACAGAAAGATTGTGACCACTCATGAGAACTTAATTATTTGGAAAATGAACCAAATAAAAGGCTAGCACTCATAATCGGCAAACTAATTTGATTAACAGATGCATAGGTGGTACAAAATAAAACTCTCCAACAACTAAGGGGCACACAGTGTTGTAGCACGACCACACCAGACTGAGGGACAAGCAGAGGAACCGTCTCACTATGCCAAAAAAAAAAAAACAGAGTACATTAAATAGAAAACTGCATAATACTGGTTGGGTTGAAATTGAAATACTCAAGTCTAGCAAGTGGGGAACGGGGAGCCACAGGAGTTAGCAACTTTCCTAGCATTGGGAGAGCTAACAAGCTTCTTGAGGTTGGGGTCTTTCAAATACTTGCAAAGACAAGGCCTCTGTTCCTTCAGTTTACTGCAGCAAACAGGTGTAGGAGGGCTTGAGGAAGTGATGGCGCTCCCACATGCACTCAACTCCAACGCGTTACACGTCACTGCCATAACCCTCGACAACTCTGTCTGACCAAGGAGCACCATAATAAGCACAATGCACACTGTTGCATGTGAAATCTTCATTTTCAATCACAAATTAGACACTCAAATTTAATTGAGAGTTTGATGGATGCATAAGGGTGTGGCTCTCTTCACTATTTATAGTGCCAGGAGGAGCTAGGCATGGGACAGGATCTAATATTACTTTGTGAATAGAATCATTTTAATTTTTCTTAATCATTAAATAAAAAGAATAGTTGTTAAAAAAGTTTTAAGATAGTAAATATATTTTTGGTTGAATACTTATTTTATAAAATAAAAAAATAAAAAAATATAACACAACTCTCGTAACAAAAGCCATGGATGAATGGGGGCATGGTGCTAAAGTTGGAGCCCCGTATTTGTGTATCATCATGAATTTGCGGAGAACTCTCTTTTCTACCCGCTTTGCTTTATTGCGTATTCATTGCTCGTGGATTAGAGTCATTGGCCTAAGGTCATGGTAGGGGGTTATAGGTTTGGCTCCATCATTACAACGGAACATCTGGGTAATCCACTTAGAAGTGGTATTACTGGAAAAAGCACAAGTTTTTGTGTCATTATCAGATTTTAAAAATTGAACAAACTATTATACAAGTTTCATAAACTCATTTAATAAGTTTATTTTATCGTATTTCTTAATATAAATTTATTTTATGAGTATGAGTTAAATATCAACGAAAAGTCAATTTATTTTGTTATTTTAGTATATGTTAAACAAAACATATGATAATGCTTTAATTTACTTTTATACTATGATTAAGGTTTTTAATGTCAAATATGTCCAAGCGATTGGTTATATTCATTGTCTTTATCCTAACACATGATGTGTTCATAACTAAGGATAGAGTAAATTTTGGTTCTGATAAAGAATTTAGGATTGAAGTAGTGTTTTTAAAATTCAACGACATTAAAAAATATGGTGTTTTTGTTGGGAATAATGCCTTACGTAGCATTAAGAAACACTCTGTAGCATGTCACGCTGAAGGCCGAATGACTTTCGGCGATGTGAAATATGCAATCTGATGGATGGATGGTCAACATTTGAGTTTTCTTTTATGATTATGTTTACTGTTTCGTCCGAGGACAAAGGACAAAAGTAAAAAAAAAAAGTGAAAAAAAATAATCAAAACCGCATGCGTTTATAGACATTTTCATTTTTTGAAGGATTGTGATAGCTATATTTTTGTTGAGAAGGGCAAGGGAGACTCAAATCATACTCTAATAAGTAACATGTATTCTCAACATGAGTGTTTTGTTTTTTCTATTGTTAAGGTTTATTGTTAAAATTTAATAAAATATTTATATAAAAATTAAAATATAATTTTTTTAAATATAAAAATTAATTAATAAATATGTGTCAATTATAAAGAATAAATGTTTTTAACCACTCTTTCGTTCCACACAACTATAAAATTAATGTAGATTTTTTATTTCTTTTTAAAACAAAGATTTAAATGTATTAATTAAGTGCATGGTAACATAATCCACTGTAATTTTCCTATATATGAAAGATTAATGTCACAGTCATATATTGAACCATCCTGAAGTAATCAATTATTAGTATCGAGGTTTATTTCCCTATTTCCTTTTAAGCAGCATGCTGCGTTTTTTTAAAAATTATAAAGAGTAACACAGAAAAAAAAAATGTTTACTGTCTTTTGTGGATTTGAAATTTTTATATCATTTAATCTGTAATTTAAATAGTTTTGTATTTTTTATTAATTAGTACGTAAAATTCGGCATTTTCTTTTCGAAGAGTACCAAAGTATATCTTTTAATTATTTAGCTTCGTGTTCTAATTTTTTCAATGGCCTGAAGTCTGTTCTTTGTTTTAAAAACTTGTCTTACACATTTGTCATATTAAAGACAGGTAGCCAATTAGGGCTAGCTGCATGTGTGAAAATTTAATGAACGTTATAAATGATCGAAGCGGTAAGCAGTATTATAAGAGTGGTGTCCCAAAATAATTAACATGCTAACTTTCCCACATAAACATTATGTTATTTTTAACGCTAATTTTTAATATATCAGGTTCTTCTTAATTAATATATCGATCCAATTATAGTATCTAAGTTTAATTAAATGCACTAACAAATTAGTCATTAAGTAAATCAATTGCTCAACATAACTTTCTCAGAAGTACCTCTTTCTTGAATTTTAAAGGGTGCAAAGGGCAATTCAGCCCACGATGCGGAAGTATTAAAGTACAACTTGACATAAAATAAGTTCTCTATTCTCACGGTACACGTATAGCATCAATCAAATATCATGGGACGTTGGGTTGAGTTCAAAGGTCGTAAATTAACAAAAACTTTATACAAGGGCCGCTTAAAGCATATCCAAATTAATGTCTCAACTTTACACTTTAAACTAATACTGGTATTGAACTTACTTTATTACAATATTGGCATGGTTCATCATGCCAATTTATTATATGGCACATCATGACAAATCGTCATCATGAAGCAATTTAAGTATATCAAATTTTCTATATGAGTTCTTCGAACTAGTTTAATGACTGAGTTGAATGATTCTGAGACATAATAGAACAAATCACTATGGTAGTAAAAAAAAAAACACACACGATATTGTGATATCTATAATTGCAGCGTGATATATACCAGCTCTATTGTAAAAATATTTAGAATTTGAAATCATAAATATATTTTTTTGTATATCATGTCAACAATTTGCATGAGGTGCAAACATCTCAATCTCCATCCCTCTCAGGTGTGCATAAGATTCCCACGAAAATTTAGACCTCGTAAATACAAGAAGCCCTTAAATACAAGAAAACACAGTATATTAGACATAGAAGAGGGTACACGTGAGATAATAACAATGTTTTTTAATTATGTGTGGGCACGAGGAAGTAAGACTTGAAGGCCATGCCAAAGCCATACCTTTCCTCCATGCAATGAGTTGATTAAATTTCTTGGTTACAAAGCTTAGAACCATAATATCCTTTGGTATACATATATGTTGGCTTCATGATGCATGAATCACAACAGTGCTCGGAACTTGGTTTCAGGCAATCTCATAAAATACTGCAAAGACAATTTCAATCATTCAATCGGTAGCCATGCGAACCCGTTCCCATGAAACTGCACAAAATCAAGGTCTTTTTGGCCGTCAAAGATCACTGCATGCAGTCCTTGGCGGAGGAAAGCGTAAGATATTTCAGAAGTTCACCTCTTTTTTGTCATGATTTTATGTTTCTAAATTATAATTTCTCAAAAAATTTCGTAGCACCTAACCTCAATTTTTAGCCAAAAAATAAATCCTCATTGTCATATTTATGTTTTATTAAAAAATTATAGAATATAAGCTCCACAAACCCTTATTTGGGCACTTAAAAAAATCCTCTTACTGCTTAATAGCATGATTGGCAAAAAGCCTCTTACTGCTTTTAGGATAAATAACATTTAAATTTTTTGAGATTTAACAAAATTTGTTCGATATAGTGATTTGTATAATTGAGAACGATATGCAATATTAAAGGAGAGTTTATGTAGATACAAAAAGACCATTAAATAAAATTTTATTAAACTCTGAAGAGTGTAAATGTAATTTATCCTGACTTTTATGATGGTTTGAGGGCTTGCTCAAGAAAACCGAACACGTACACTAAACCCAATTCTTTGGTGCATTTTTGCTCATATTCCAAAGACCCAAAAGTAGAACACCGCCTTTCTTAACTTTTAGAGTTCTTGTTTGTGTTTTGATTTATCTGATTTTGCAGTTGCTGATATATTGCTTTGGAAAGACAAGATATCATCGGGAGCAATTGTAGCTGGGTTCTCCATCATCTGGTTTCTCTTTGAAGTGGTCGATTTCAATTTTGTTACTCTACTTTGTTACACCCTCATTGCCCTTATGCTCATCCTATTCGTATGGTATAATGCAGCTGGACTTATCACTTGGTAATGTAACCTTATACTTTTATAAATCAAGTCGTGCAGTCCTTATTTAAAAGCATTCTTTTATAATTTGTGGAGTAAATATTAATCAGTTTCATTTCAGGAGCCTTCCTAATATCTATGAATATGAAATCCCAAAGCACACCCTCACATACATACATAACAAGCTCAACTTTTCCTTGAGGACATTTTATGACATTTCAACTGGAAAAGACCTCACACTCTTCTTTGTGGTATTGAAAAACAATTTTCAATTGCTCTCACATTTCATACATTTTCTTAATAAATTTGTTAGTTGACATCATACTATTGAATTTCAGACAATCGCCGGTCTCTGGATCATGTCAGCTATTGGGAATTATTTCACCACTTTGAATCTTCTATATATAGGTGAGATCCCAAACAAATTCATTTTATTATGGTGTACTTATCAACTTTCCTATTTGAGCCTTATCAATATGTTGATATGCAACATATTTCTTCTACAGTGTTCCTCTGCCTTGTGACCCTTCCTGTTATGTATGAGCGGTATGAATATGAGGTGGATTATCTAGCAAGCAAAGGAAACCAAGACGTGAAGAGATTGTTCAAGACATTGGATTCGAAAGTTCTCAACAAGATTCCAAGGGGGCCTGTGAAAGAAAAGAAGTACAAATGAAGTTGAAATATGAATGCACGAAAGGATGTATATAAGCTATACTCTCTTTAATTTATTTGCCTCTACCATAAATTAGCTACAAGCAGATGTATTTCCTGCCTTAAATATGTAAAAGAAAACAATGCTTGTAAAATTATTTCTATGAAACAAGACTGTGCAATCACATATTTCTCTTAAATATTTAGGATGATGGAATAATTTAACGTTCATGCTATTTGTAATATATCACAACATTCATAATTTATCTGGATAAGTTTTTGAGTGGTTAAAGGTTATGTTAAAACTAAAAAATCTCACCATTTTTACTTAAACATGTTAATAAATGTGACTACTATTTCTCAATCAGTCCCTTCAATTTTAGCATAATAAAATTACACATTAAAAGGGATGTGCCTACTAGCATAACTGAGAGGGTAGCTTGGTAACTCAAAAACAGGATTAATTAATATATACCATAATAGGATATTTCTGCATAATTGATCCCATCTAGGTAGGACTGACATAATTAACACTAATCTGTTTGTATGTCAGCAGAGTGGCATAGCACGAAAATATGAAAAATGATCATCCACAGTTAAATGCAACAGAAAAACCTCGGCCGAAATGGAGAGCTTAATTAATTGAATAATATAAAACCTTGGCTTACATTGGCATCCAATTTGGTTGGCTAGTAGTTAAGAATTGAGGGGATGGTAAATTTATTGATGCTTAGGAACCATTGCCGTTTGTAAGATTGGACCATGTTTCAGGTCAATTGATGTCATGTACATGACAAATATGCACATTTATAATACATTTCATATACTTATCTAAACATGTCTTGTATTTGAGAAATTGTAATGACATATTGTAACTTAATTTTTGACATGTACATAAATATTAAGATTGCTGACTATGCTAATTATGGTAATATTTTTTATTAACAATAAAATTACAATTTTATATATCAAATTTAAAACATAAAATTAACCCTCGTTCAGACAGAAAAAATTGTCCTTACACTGCCTTATATTTAATAATAAGATAAGATATTATTCAATTTATCACAGTGATAGTTTGAATAATGTTGATTAAAATTAAAATACTAATTAAATTATTTGTTATTAATATTAAAGCTACTATTTTATTTATAAAATTAAAATTAGAAAAAGTCTATACAATAAAGATAAACTAAATGACTATAATATTTTGTGTTGGGTGTTTCTCTTTAGAATAAAAGTAAGAAAAACTGTTTTTTGTCAGCAAAAACGTAAGAAAGAGTTGAGAAGTCGGAAGCCCATCCAACAACTTAATTACTCAAATTCCTTCCAACAAATGTTTGATACTTTCGCTTTAATACCCATTTAATCTTCTCGCCCACTTAATGACGCGAGCTAATCTCCATTAGCCCAACTACAATCAAGAAGATCGGCTCATAAATTACCACTATGGAAATAATTATATCACTAATCTTTTTGGGAAAATATGATTAGCATTTTTAAGTTGTTCATTGGTTACATAATTTAAAAAATATTAACCACAGTTTTAAGATTAATTTTAAACAAATAATGTATATTATACATGTATATAGAATATAAAAATGCATTAAATATTTTTTAATAAATATTATTATTTTAAATACTTAAAATCAGTTATAAGGACTAAAGTCAATTACACCGAATAAATTAATATTTTTTATATTATAGACCTTTTTGTTAAAACAACATTTTATTCAAAATGAAAACATTTATATTATAATAAGATTCTATTTGAGTCAAGCATGATTATTAGGGTTCTGACAAAAATTTTCTCTAAATATTTAATACAGAGTATTTGTTATTCTATATTCTATTTAAAAAAACAAAACATGTATTATTTAATATATTTTTTAATAAAAATATACATATTATTTTTTCACGCGACATTAGGATCGATGGGCACTCTTTCAAATTGAGTGGGTGCAGTAAAATCATGTTAAGAACAATAATTGGTGGGGTTGGGATTCCCCACTTCTACTCTTTATTCGTAGACAGTTAGCTATCTTTTTCAAGGAAGACAAAGCCATGTAAACCCCAACTTTAAGCATTGTTATGGCCATACAAATGATAACATTTTCAACTACGAATTGATAGAATGTAACTTCTCCTCCACCGTTGAATACTTGTGCACGTAAATAACCATTTGAGTTCAAATAATTTTTATCATATAAATTTTATTTTATTTAAAATAATTTTATAATAACGTGATCTATATTTTAAATTTTTTAAAAGTAAATAAGTAATAATAAAATTTAAAATCAATTTTTTAATTGAACATTAAAACTATAATTTATTGTATTAATTTAAATATAATTTTAAAAACAAAATCAATTTTAATGAAGAGCAATTAAAATATCAATCTTTTTATAAAATTTTGTTTGGTAATCCATAAGAATTTAATATAAATCTAAACATGCATTGAGACAGATAGTGATTTTCTTTAAAGACTTAGTGATTCACATTGATATTAAAACCACGAACTTTTTCTTGTTGCCAGCCACTTGCGTTGCGTAAAAGATGACAAAAATTTTAATTATATTAACGCTATTTTTATTTTTTATTGATAGCTTACTGAAAAATTTTTTAATAAAAAGTTTATTATTTAAAGAAATTTACCCTAGATGCCCTAACGGTAAGATAAAGGGCAGCTACAAGAAAATGTATGTTATTTTTAAAATGAGATGATAGATTTTACCATGAACCAAAATTAATGCATTTATGCATTTGCCAGTAATTTTTGGCCAATAATTACAAGTGATTATAAATTAACAACTCTTATTTTTTTTTATTTTTTTTTAATTTATTACGTAATTTATTATACATTATTAATTTTTAATTATAAATAATTTATTTATTTGTTCTACGCCCATTTGATAAGGAATTAATTTTGAAAACTTAAAGTTGTGTTTGTAAGGAGTTTTTTTAAATTTTCGACAGATATAAAATCAATAATTAAAATGATTTAAGTGAAAAGTAGTTGTTAATAATAATTAGTATAAGAATATTTTTTTAATTTTTATTTAATATTATTTATTTAATTAAAAATATTAAAAATACTAATGTCCAAATATACACAATTTAATAATTTAAAATTACTTTATTTAAACACACTTTAAAGGTTTATCTACCTCATTTTCAAGAGAAAACTTTAGGTAATCTGATACCATGTGATCTATACTGCCTACACTTTATTATGTGTCTAATATATATATATATATATATATATATATATATATATATATATATATACATACGTATTGTGTTACTATTAATCATGGTTATGGTAGTTTAGGATCATAAAAAAATTTCTAATACCATACAAGTTTATTATTATTTTACATGTTGAGATTGTGTTCCTTGCTTAGAAATCGCAAATATTATAGGAAATTGTCATGTTAAAGTGAATATTTTTTTAAGGTTTTATACTGAAAAATAAAATAAAAAACAAAATTTAACAAATATATAAATTTATTGTAATTTTTTTATTATAACAATATGTAGTTTTTTTGTTTCGCAAATGCTGGAAGAAAAGACTATAACTTTATGAAATCAATTTACTTATCTAATGCTTATATCTTGGTTAAATAAACTAATAAATTATGAAATAGCTAAGTATTAGCTAAACATGACATGAATTAAATATATAGAGAGTGGTGATTCATGTATGCTACTCTAGTAGCAATAAATTAAGAAAAGAACATAGTTTTCTTCATAAAAATTGGAACACCAGAGATAATGACAAGGGAAATAAATAAAAGTAAAATTGTAATTTTCTTTTTCTCTCATACATGAACGTATGATACATGTTTGTGCCTAATCATAATTGAAGTGGAATGCAACAAAGTAGCAAATTAATTAAAGGAAAAAGGGAAACATTATAGTTCATAATTTTGGTTTTGCAATTAAAGCAAGTGTGATTTGACCATAGATCTAAAATTTATCAGCCCATCATTGTGGAGAGTTAGCTCATCGCTTTCAATGGTATTCTTTGGTCACAAGTCCATCATCCTGGTTTTGACTTTCCAAAAAATTAAGAAAAGAATATTCTTTGGCATTTTAAATATGACGAAATATTTTTCTCTGATCATATTCATTTGTACCCATAATTAACGACCTACATATAATATTGTATTTTTATTGTTGAATTGACTGTTTGTTAATATTTATTTAATTGTATTAGCAATTATTTTGCACAATTTTCATATTTAATTTAACAATTTACGTCTTTCGTACTTTTGATATTTCATCATTTAGCATATGTATAGCAAGTTTTATGCATTATGTGGGTCTTTCAAATTTTGTTAAATTTTGAAAAATACAAATAAAAACAAGATGTGCGAGAAAATCAGTATTATTAATATCAAGAAATGCCTTTCTCGTTACAACAACAACATTTTGTTCTATCAAAAATAAAAATCTTATAGACGTTATTTACTATGAGATTTTGTCATAATTTTTTTATTTCTCTTTATCTCTTTATAGGATTAAAAAACATATAATTCAGTATCTTCAGTAATATTTCTAGTGACATTACATTATAATGCCTTTGATGCTAATAATGAAAAATATTTTAGTTAATATTAATAAAATAAATAAACAAAATATTATTAAATTGATGAACTGCACTGTTAACTATTTTATATGATTTAAAATATATGCTCATAGACATTTATTTTCACCAGAAAAAATCAATGAATACAGCAATTCACAAGATGCTGAATCTACTTCATTGGTATTTCGGAGCTGCAGATTATTTTGTGTGTCTGGTTTGCAGCTATACTTGTTGCTCTCCATTGTACTAAAAGGTTGTTAGAATTTTTTATTTTTATATCTTGACCTTGCAAACTGAAAGTAGTCCTTCAACACACTTTAGAGAGACCATAATCACCTACAGCCCTTTATTTCGTATTTGTGTATTCTTCCGTCTTTTGGCCAAAGGCTTTTGTTTCGGGTTTCGTGATAACTGTGAGCTGCAGATTTTGTTGTTTAATGTTATTATGGTGATAAAAAAATGTACTTTTTAAAATAAAAGAAAGGATATTTAAGTTAAAATAACAGTAGATAATAATTGTTGTAACTTTGTAAAGTTATTATTGTAAGTTGTATTGTTGATAAAAGAAGGGCAATTGCCAATTATGACGCATGAGATATGGGGTAGGGAGGAGTAGTTTAATTAGCATCAATAATGATTGTAATTTTACAAATGGTAGTGACTAGCAAAGCATCCAAGCTAAGTGGACACCATCACTCAACGTCAAGAAGCAACTTGATATAATTGACAACAATCATAGCCTTATTATATAATAGTGGCAGGCAAATCATTGACGTTACCAACACAACTCTCACAACTCTACTTAGAAGCTTCTCTCCTATTACTCTCTGCTTTTATCTTCTCTCTTTCGCATTAATGCTATGCCTATTAAACTTTAACTAACGTTCTAATTAATTCAGCTGAGCTATACTCGCTTGCCTGAGAAAATGAAACAAAACAATGGTTTATGAAAATAAAATGCCATAATTTCTTTTGGTTTTAATAGCTTATTAATTAAGTAGACAAGTTATAAAATTATAAATAAATTATAAATTTGGATTACTAAACAAACATTTAGTATATTTGAGTTAATTTTAATTTTAATTTATAGACAATATAAAAATGTTTTCGGTGGATTACAATTAAACTCATAAAAATACTAAAGTGCAATTAATAAAAAAAGTATATATTTTTCAAAAATAATTTGAGTGCATTCTCTATGTAATATTCATATATTATTAATGAATTAAAATACATTATAAATTCATTTTTTAAGTTATAAATTATTACTAATATAATAATTTGAAATTTAATAAGAGTATAAATAATCTTTAAAACATTAGTATATTTAAGTTAAATTAAATTTTCTTTACTTAGTTTTCCTCGTTATTTATCTTGAATCAAAAGTAAGGTGCAAGTTAATTTTGAACGACATAATCGATCTAAGCTTTTGTTACATAAAAACAATGTAATGTAACATGGACAGAAAAATTCACCTAACTGCAGACCGTTTAGTGTTTTATGCTAAATAAGCTTTATATTTACGAGTGCGTGTTTGTCAAAGGCAGGCAAAGACGCGCGCAATTAAAAAAAAAACAAAACTACGGATTAAGAATAATACTAACCATTAATTAATTAGAGTATGTGTTGCAGGATTGGCGACAACAAGCGTGATCTGAAATTGAGAGATAAGATGTAATCCTGAACTTGGCTATGGAGTCACAGATGATTCATAATTGTTTTATTTTTGAAGTCATTGCATCACGCAATCTATTTGTTGCATTACGAATTCTAATCTAACATGTTCGGTCCAGATATTGATTGAAGTTGCCATGGAACCAACTTAAAAACCACAAGACAAGCAATTTTCTAGTAATGGAAGTTTGGGGCTGCCAACGTAGGAAATTGATTTGCCTCTGCAAGTACTTGGAACATGCCGCGACAAAAGCCAAGAAGAATTTAACAACCATATGCTTTTAGAATTACACTTGTTGTTTGGAGAGAAATGATGTCGGCGAGGGTGCTCTTGAGATAGACAGGTGGATCGTACTTGTTTTTCATTCTTTGTTTCAGTAATTTTTCTAATTAAACTCGTCACTTTTTCAAAATAATTATAGATTTTTAACACTTAAATATAACATCTTAAACATAGATTTTTATATTAAAACATATAATATTATAAATAATTAATGACATATTTAAAAATTTCAAATTGGAACTTATATTTTTAACACTTATTTTAGTTTCAACGTTAGTATACAACGCATTGAATTATTATTTATCATAGTATATTGTAAAACAATTGTGTTTTCTTTACCCCTTTTTCTATATTCAATCACATGTTTTATTATATTAATTATAAATTTGTTTCACTATTTTCTAAAAATTTATTTACTCCATTGGATATAAAAAGTAATTTTCATTGCAAAAATACAAGTTTTTGTCGCAATTATTATTATCCACCACAAACTGCATCTGCAAATCAGCAACTAAATATATATATCAAAAAGGAAATTTCAGAAAAGAGCTTAGAAAAAAGGCTCGTGCCTTCGGCAAAGAGTGAAAGAGAAGCAAGAAAACGAAGAAAAAAATAATAATTTTTGAATGGAGAAGCATGATCACTAGTCTTTTATAACCCATTCTGTCTCGTTAATTTAATTTGATTTACCCGTGATTGATTGAAATGGGTTTATTTTATCTTACTTAAAATTTTGATTATTTTAAATTAAAATCAATTTGGTTAAAACTCAATAATAGTATTAGAATGAGATTATAAAAAAATATACTAATTTTAATATTGTATATAATTAAATTACAGTGTACAAAATATTATTTATCATGTCTTAAGTCTTATTATTAATTTATAATTACTTAAAACAATAACATAAACCCGTTCTCAAATTCAAACTATATTAAATATCAAAGAGGAGTTGGAGGGACGGATCTAATATTATATATCCATGCCACTTAAGGTGTGTTTCAATTAATTAGAGAATATGGATTATTTTAATAATTAATTATTATGGTAATTGATTATATAAAATAATTTTTATATTTAAAAATGTTTGATGACAAATAATTTTAACACACACGTAAAGAGATTATGATAAATTTAGATTAAAAAATATATAATATATTTTTTAAATATATATTTTTAATATTTAAATATTATATAATTTATTAATTCAATAAACAACATTTTACTTAATATAATACTTATATTATTTATTTTAAAAATATATTATAAAATAAAATTTAGGTTTATAATTTAATTATATACGATAATCAAACAAATATATTATCGTATCTTATGTATTATGGAATCTTGATAAAATCAAATTTAAATTTAATAATTAATTTTATCAAAATTTTATAAAAAAAAGGAAAAATAAAATCTTCCTACAAGCGCCCTTAATAAAAACTGACATAAAAACCCTAATAATGATGATAAAAACCAAAAGAATAGAGAAGAAGCACGTGCAGGTGGAGTGTGTGCTGTGTGCAAGTGTGGATGATGGGAAAAAAAGGGTACGGGTTGGGATTGTGGGGGCGGCGGTGTAGTGTAGTGTGGTACGGAGGAGTTTTTTTTTTTAAATTGAATTATACATATAAAATCCGATATAGTGTTTTTATATTTATTTATTTATTGGTAGAATAGTTTTTTATATTTAAAACCCATAATGTCATAAATAACCAATAATATTTTTAAAAAAGCATACAAAAAATTATATTTTGAGTGTAAATTGTAATTAGAATTAATATTTACCATAAACTATATTAATTTGATGTAATTTATAAAAACATGTATAAAATGGTGTATAAGATATCCTTGTATAGTTGTATGACATTTCTTACGTCGATGACAATAACATTTATGTCATTTACGTACTTGTAATTTTCTATTATCACCTTTTTGTTTGGCTATGCTGTGGGCCGGGAAAACAAATAACAATCACTTGATTCATTAAACGAACTCTAAACTCCAAGGGACACTTGTTGCACTGTTGTTCACTAACATTACGCGAATAATATACCTTCCGCAAATTCTACGGTCGTGCTTGTTAATAATTTTTATAATATCTTAACACGTAATATAATATATTGTTTAAGAAAAATAATTAAAATAAGATTTAAAACAATTAAATCAAATATTGGGTATAAAATAATAATAATTTATCCGAATACGCATCGTAGCAAAAGTAATAATAAAAATAATTTTGTACAAGCAAGCGTGAATTGTCTCTAAATACTACTTTGTGTAAAGTTAATTTGACCAGTTGGTTAGAATATATTTGGACCTTAAAAAAGCAGACAAGACCTCTGTAAACAAAGGAATCACAATGGAATATATGCTGTAACTGGAAAAATGGTGGTGTGGTTGGGTACACGCGCTGTGGTGTGCAAGGAGGTAGTGTTAGTGGTGGCAGTGAGGCACCACCGTCATATTTGAGGGGGGTTAGGTGAGTTAATGTTTGATTAACCGTGGTTAAGGATGTTGGAGTTCACTGTGCTGGGGTAGTCATGTCATCACACATCACTGAGATAGAGACATAGTGTGTGTGAGTTTGAGGAGAGGGAGAGAATCAAGTTCTTTGTATAAAGACATCCAATTTGTCGTTTGTTGGATGTAAGAGGCAAAAAATATCACCATGAAATTTCTGTTTTTTGTAGACAAAAGTAAAAGAAAAGGGATTCCCAGTTGACGCCATAGCTCACTAAGGTGAGTGTGTGTGTGTTGTGACTGAGAAGGGAAAAGAAAGAAGAATCTTTGGTGTCTGTCTCATCTCTCAACTCACCCCCCCCCCCTCTCTCCTGTATTTTTCAAGGGTAGGATTTTCTTCGTTGCTGTTGTGAAAAGCTTCTTCCTTTCTTTCTTCTTCTGTTCATTCTTCTTTTTTGCTAGTTTAGCCTCTTTTGAACTTCTAGTGCATCAATGGAAGATGGGCTAATCGTGCATTTTTATGTATCTTAATGTCTGGATCCATTTAAGTGTTCACGCAGCCACCCTTAACATTTTCTGTTGCTAGATGATTTTCATTTTCGGGTAGGTAATATTGTTAATAATTCTATTAATAGATTCAAATGTTCTATCTAGTATTTTCTCAAATTGTTGTTATGGTTGTCTTTTTTGGTTGAAACTTAAAGTCAGTATTCCTCGAAACATAATTTGTCGAACCCAGCCGAAGGGGTCTAGTATGAGATTTTTTAGATTTGTTTTCCTCTCTGCCCTTCTCTCAATTTTCATTTTTCTCATGGAGTTCAACTGCACATCTTAAGAACTATATTTGGTGTAATGAAAACAACCATAACATATCAAACTTCTGTTATGTAACATTTGGTGATATTGATTCTGCTGAACTTGTTAGTTTTGGGGTATAAATGACATTAAATTGTTTTTCAGATTTCTGAAATTGCATCTTTATTATGATTGTTTGAAGGACTGTGAAGAATCAATATAAGCCTGCCTCTACACCTTGTCCACCAAAGGTCATTTGGCCATCAACAAAATGGTTTCGAGGTCATATTCTAACTTGTTAGATCTTACTTCGTGTGATGCCCCAACTTTTGGTCGTGAGAAGAAAAGGCTCCCTCGAGTGGCAACTGTTGCTGGAGTACTGTCTGAACTAGATGATGAGACCAGTATCAGTGCTGGCTCTGATACACCATCCTCAGTTTCTCAAGAGAGGATGATCATTGTTGGTAACCAGCTTCCATTAAGGGCACACAGAAAAGACAATGGTACATGGGAGTTCACTTGGGATGAAGACTCACTTCTTTTGCAGCTGAAAGATGGTCTTGGAGATGATGTGGAAACTATCTATATTGGTTGTCTTAAAGAAGAGATTGAGCCGAGTGAGCAAGATGATGTTGCTCAGTACTTGCTTGACACTTTCAAATGTGTGCCCACGTTCCTTCCTCCAGAACTTTTTAGTAAATTCTATCATGGATTCTGCAAGCAACATCTATGGCCTTTATTTCACTACATGCTTCCACTGTCACCTGATCTTGGTGGTAGATTTGATAGGTCCCTTTGGCAAGCTTATGTTTCTGTGAACAAGATATTTGCAGATAAAGTGATGGAAGTCATTAGCCCTGATGATGACTTTGTGTGGGTTCATGACTACCATCTGATGGTACTTCCAACGTTTTTGAGAAAGAGATTTAATAGGGTGAGGCTAGGATTCTTCCTCCATAGTCCATTTCCTTCCTCTGAGATATACCGAACCCTTCCTGTTAGGGACGAACTTCTTAGAGCTCTTCTGAATTCTGACCTTATTGGGTTTCATACTTTTGATTATGCCAGGCATTTCCTCTCCTGTTGCAGTAGAATGCTTGGGATTTCTTATCAATCCAAGCGGGGCTACATTGGTCTTGAGTACTACGGAAGAACTGTAAGCATTAAGATTCTTCCTGTTGGTATTCACATAGGTCAGCTCCAATCAGTCATGAGTCTTCTTGAGACAGAAAACAAGGTTGCAGAGTTACAAAACCAGTTCAGAGGTCAAACTGTGCTGCTTGGTGTCGATGACATGGATATCTTCAAAGGTATCAGCTTAAAGCTTTTGGCCATGGAACAATTGCTTTTACAACATCCTGATAAAAGGGGCAAAGTTGTCCTGATCCAAATTGCGAACCCAGCAAGAGGCCGGGGAAAGGATGTACAGGAGGTACAGAGTGAAACTTATGCCACAGTGAAGAGGATAAATGATTCATTTGGAAGGTCAGGATACACACCTGTAGTCTTGATTGATACACCGCTTCAGAGTTACGAGAGAATTGCTTATTACATAATTGCAGAATGTTGTCTTGTTACAGCAGTGAGAGATGGGATGAACCTGATACCCTATGAATATGTCATTTGTAGACAAGGAAGTGAAAAGATAGATGAGATTTTAGGGATCAACCCATTGACCCAAAAGAAAAGCATGCTTGTGGTGTCTGAGTTCATTGGGTGTTCCCCTTCATTAAGTGGGGCAATTCGAGTGAATCCATGGAATATTGATGCCGTTGCTGAAGCTATGGATTCTGCCCTGATGGTCCCGGAGGCTGAAAAGAAGATGCGGCATGAAAAGCATTACAGGTATGTTAGCACACATGATGTTGCATATTGGGCACGTAGCTTCTTGCAGGATCTGGAAAGGGCGTGTAGAGATCATCTCAGGAGGAGATGCTGGGGAATTGGTTTTGGTTTAGGGTTCCGAGTCATTGCTCTGGATCCAAACTTTAGAAAGCTATCCGTGGAACATATTGTTTCAGCTTATAAGAGGACTAAGCACCGAGCAATTCTTTTGGATTACGACAGTACTATGGTGCAGCCTGGATCAGTGAGTACAACACCTAATGCAGAAGCTGTTGGCATCTTAAATAGCCTGTGCAGGGACACCAAGAACATTGTTTTCATTGTAAGTGGAAAGGAGAGAAAGACTCTTACTGAATGGTTTTCTCCTTGCGAAAGGCTGGGCATCGCTGCAGAGCATGGCTATTTTGTGAGGTATGTCCTTTTCCTTGTGTGTGTGTGTGTTTTAGGGACAGGGAGAGTTTGCGGTGACTATAAACTGTATTAATGATTTTTGTTTTACTAGTTCATATTATTAATTTTAAAATGATGAAATTTGGCTCATAGCCGTGAATTTGATGGGGAATCATATTTGACATTTCTTTTGTCAACAGAGGTGTCAATTCGCCCTACCTGCCAGCAAATAAGCTCGCTGTTTCATTTTATGTATGAAATAAAGTTGAGGAAAAGTGAAAAATACTCGTCCTTGTCACAGCTTGCTTCTGCAATCATACTGAACTTTATCTTTGTTCCAGGACAAATCAAAATGCAGAATGGGAAGCTTGTATTTCTGTACCAGATTTCGACTGGAAACAGATTGCCGAGCCAGTTATGCAGTTATATATGGAAACAACTGATGGTTCTAACATAGAGACCAAAGAGAGTGCTCTTGTTTGGAATTACGAGTTTGCAGACCGAGATTTTGGTTCATGCCAGGCCAAGGAGCTTTTTGATCACCTGGAAAGTGTTCTTGCCAATGAGCCTGTTTCAGTTAAAAGTGGTCCAAACATTGTGGAAGTTAAACCTCAGGTTGGTTAAAAAAAGTTTTGAAGTCACTTATATTTAGTTGAAGTTTATTATTTATATACTTATAGTTGTGACTTGTACCTTTTAAGTTTGATAGAATCTTTGGATTTGGACCATCTTGGCAATTTAATTGTAGTGATGCTCATAATCGGCGCAAAACCATGTTTAGACAAACAACCTATTATATGCTGTGTTAGCAAAGTTAGCTGCTGTTTGTTCCTTAATATTCTGTTTGAAACAATTGGAACGAATTTTGGTATTGGGTTGCTCTAAAGAACATGCATGGATCACTGCTAGTTCTTTTATTTTGGAGCTTCAAAATACAATATGATCTAACTTCCAAAACTAAATCTCAATGACATTTTTTGTTTGGTTGAATTTTGGTGCAGGGTGTGAGTAAAGGTATTGTAGCAGAACGTCTTCTCTTAACGATGCAAAAAAAGGGAGTGATTCCAGATTTTGTTCTGTGCATTGGGGATGACAGATCAGATGAGGACATGTTTGGGGTGATAATGAGTGCAAGAGCATCACTGTCTCCAGTTGCTGAGGTGTTTCCATGCACAGTTGGTCAGAAACCAAGCAAGGCCAAGTATTACTTGGAAGACACGAGTGAGATTTTGAGAATGTTGCAAGGTCTTGCCAAAGCTTCTGAGCAATCTGCTAGAAGCTCTGCTCAATCTTCTCATTAATGATTTTTCAATCTGTGGGACGCATACTATTGTATTGTATTCAATGTATTTGTCTATACCGTGATATCATGTGCTATATTTCTTGGTCTATTTAATTTGCTTGCTCAGTTGCCTTCATTTATTGGTCTCTGTTTTCTTGGCTACAAAGTGATATCCCAACGCTATTGCAACTACCAATAGTTTGTTTCGAAAGTTGATGAATTACGTGGAGTATTTATTGCTCTCTGTCTCCACTAATGTTTCGGACCAATTTTATGTATCATAACGTGATTCGTTTTTATGTAAATTTTTCAGCCAATACTTAGAACCGAGTTAGTTCTAAGTCTTGTTGAAATCATTCACAAATTAATTCCGTCCCAATTGAATTCTTGTATCAGAGGTTTCCTGAATTGATTTTCATTAAGAAGATAATTAATAACTTAATTCTTCTATAATCTAGGTGAACTGTGATGAGACATGGATCCAAATTTTCACTTTTTTTATTCATTAGAATTTTTGTTACTGTTTAAGGTGGTGGGAAGATGGCACTGCATCAAGATGTCTTATCCGTCTCTCTGGAAAATATTCTCAAATCCATGTTTTGTTTCGTTCTCTGTTCCAACCAGTCAACTTCTGTGGACTTTATTATGCTTATCCCACCATTATTGCTTATTTGTCCAGTGATTCAAAAATCTTTATTCGTCAGTTTTCGTACGAATCTGTTCATAGTTTCCTACAAAATGTGTCAACTGTTTGTATAATTAAGGTTAAATTAACAATTTAATTATTTTAATACGTTATTATGATCTTTTCATTTTTAAATTTAGTTTATCTATTTAACTTTATACTATCAAACAAGTTTGAACTTTCAATTAACTCCATTTATTCCGCGTCGATGCAAAGGATATAAACTTGTAACATCGGTGCACAATTAAAAGTTAAAAAATTAAAGGATAATAATAAAATAATTATAACATTGCATAACTGTGTGTAAATTTGATACATAAAATATATTTAATTCAACCATTGAATAAGGTTATATATTCATGTTGATCGAACATTTCAAGTTTTATGTAAACTAAATATTTATAAATATATAATTTTATGATTAAAATTTTATTTATATTAAAAAATGTTAGACATTAAACTATAATATTTTAAATTAATTTTTTATTTGTAAAATTTTTTAAAAACGTTATTTATTTATTTTAAATTTAACAATTGAATTGATAAAATTAACATTTATGAAGAATTATTAAGTGGAGTAACTCATGTCAGAATTATTACTAGAGTAAATTGATCCCCAGTCATTTCTTTCAGATATTTTGATTATATATTGTTCTGAAAAAATAATTTAAACTTATATTAAAAATATTTATTAAATAAAAACGTGGTTTAAACTCTCTTTAAATTGTGTTAGGTATGCAAATCAAACCAATCTGCAGTTAAATAAATAAATCCATATGGGCCTAAATTTAAAGTGGCGAATGTCTAGCAGGTCCATTAAGTCTGCAAATAAACAGGGCTAGCCATGGATTAGTTTTGTCAACATTTATTGTTTTCCTTTCTTTTTATTTTCTAGGAGGCTGGCCCAAAATGATTGATGAGCCAGTTAAGAGTGAATTTTGTTTATTATAACGTGAAAATAGTTAGTTTTTAAAATATTTGTTATGCAATTAAAAAGGCTGATATGCAAATTTGCAAACTAAAATCATTTAGTGTATAAACTAACACATGGATCTGCAATTAAACAAGTCATAATTATTCCAACCAGTAATACTAGCAATACACTCTCTTTACTTTTAATTAAAATTTATTAAAAACTAAAAAAACAAAAGAGAGATTAATTAATTTAGTGAAAAAGAGTGATAACAGTGACTTGGCATATATCACTTTCTAAATTCTATGAAAAGATGGCTTCCCAACCAAGGCACCTCCAAGACCATCGGAATACGTTCGTTAGAACATAGAAAGCACAATTTCTTTCTTTCTTTTCTGGTTGTCCCTAGGAAGCACCAAATGCTATTACTTTTTTTTTTTTTTCAAGTAGATACCCCTTCTTTGATACAATTGATATATACAAAATTTCAAATTCAATGAGTGGTTTTATTGTCCCTTGTGGATAATAAAATTAGAGAGACATAAAATGTGAGAAGTAGAATTTAAACTTGTCACATATAAAATTCATAATTCTATCCCTCTCTTCCAATCTTATCCCTTCTATTGAAAAAAAAAAAACAGTTATATGACTTTTCAGATATTTTTTTTATTAAACATTTTATATTTTTATTTTCTTAGGTAGTATTTTAGTAGTGCTCGTTGATATTTTATATTTTTTTTAATATAGTTCATCCATTTTAAGAAAGTGAAAAAGTAATGCAATCAAATGAATTGACATCTTTTCAAAATTGGAAATTGAATAAATTTCTTAATACTAATACAAAATCTTAAATGGCAACTGTTTAATTTAATGCAGAAAATGAACGAACGTGGCCTCAAATTTTACAGTGACAAATTGCAACGAATGAATGGGAAAGCTTTGATATTTTAGTCAAAGTTGCCACTTACGGATAAGATTAGGACTAAGTTGCTCGGTTTGCAATTCAGTGTGCGGCTCTCCACCAAACGGGTAGAATTTGGCCTTTTTAATAAAATAAAGAAATAAAGATTATAAGTCAAATTATAAAGCATTTTAATTTAAATAAAAATAGAGAATTTACTTTTTCACTTTCATACATTCATTTTAAAAAAATTCAATACATAATTTACTTTATACATATATTATCACATCACCAATTATATTTTCCATTTTCTTTGGCTATCTCTTCAATAATTAGTATACAAATTACGATCGTCATTTTATTTATAATCCACCGACTTAAAAAGGTTAACAAACCAATATTGCAAGTTAGATTGGGGAAGAGGATAGGGTTTTATGACCATTCACATATTCTTTTTCCGTATACCACGAAACTGTTCCACGTCACCTTTTGGTGGCCCTCAAAGGACAGTAATACCCAACACCATCGCTCTCTTTATCTTTGCTTCTTTTGCATTCAGCGCAGAGAAAACATAGAATCAGAAGATGGTGAGGCAATGGAAAGAAGAGATGGGTTTGATTAGATACAAAGGTGGTGATGAAGAACTGGCAAGTCTTGTTTTTGTGTTATGTGTAGCATTGGTGACACTCTCTCTTCTTTTGGCTATGATATTCTTGTGTGCAGATGGGGTACCCAAAAACACAACAAAAACCTCCACAGACTACAATCATGGGAATGGTTCTGCCTGCGCCGCCGGCTGTGGCGGAGGTTGTGGTGGTTGAGCTCAAAGTGGCATAGCTTTTAAGGAACTTGGGACAGGGAGTATCGATATTCCGTACACATGTTTATGTTTTTTTCATTCTAGTCAAAATATTGTGGGCTATCATAGGGGCTTGTGTTGTGATTCTACAAGTCAACGAAGTAGATATATTATACGAGAATTCTTATATTTTTACGCTTTTTTATATTTATTTTTTATTCACCTCTTTCGATTTTTTTTTCTTTTCTCTATTTATTTAATTTTTTTTTATCTTTTTCATTTTCACTCACTTTACACTAATAAATAAATTAATTAAGTGGATGTCAAGCTTGAAATGAAATCACCTGCCTTTTTTTTACTATTTATTCTTTATCCATTCAACTAAAAAAATAATATTTAACGGAAAAGTTAGCAAGCGAAATAGAAAATATATCATTTTAAAAATTATTATTATTATCTAATTAAAGAATAAAAAATAAATAACAAGGGAATTAACGAGTATTGGATCTAGGAAAAAGGATTTGAGTTTAGAAAAAAGGGACTAGTTTCATGTAAAGTGATAAAGCACACTTCATGTCCTATTTAGAGAAGTACTTATGTTTAGGACCTGCTTGAAAAATCATCTCCTTAAATCATAACTGATTTTAAAAATATTAACGATAATAGAATTATGCATGATTTTTTATATTAGTTAAACTGCAATGAAATTTTTATTATTATTATGTTTCTATTACAAACAAGCCCTTGCCCCTTAATATCCACTTTGATAAGGATTATCTTCCGTGAAAAATGTTTATGAAAAAACAAACAAGCAAGTGGTGATAATATCCTTTTAAAGGTTCACCTACAAAGGATGGTGCAGCAACTCCATCAAATTATTGCCATTGAATAAGATGTGAGGTGAAAATATGCGACTTGATCTCTTTTTAGTAGATTGGATTTTTGTTACGAATTTTAAATTGCATAGAATAAGATAAAATGATACTTAAAGTTATTATCTCCTACCAAATGAACTGATCTTTTATTTATGCTCTTTTTATATGCTTTAATTATAATAATTAGTAATTTTATTAAAAATAGAAATATAAAAATTATTTATAAGCTGAATTAAAGTACAATAATACACTAGAAATTTATCAGTGAACTCACCAATGTAAAGGTAAAAAATTATGTCATTAGATCAGTGTCCTGAAGTGAAAGCTATGTGAACATTGCTTCTTAGAAGTAACCCTAAACTTATATTGAATAAAATAAAGTGTTCAACGGGGCATTTAAGTCACGATATTCACCCATTAAGTAAACTAATCTTTTAACTCTCTTCTTGTGCTTTAAGATATAACAGTTTTTCAAAATGATTACTACGAAGTTATTAGAAGTTGGGATCTTACAAAATGGTACACAACGACCATTTTTGGCATTTAAATGTATCAGCCTCATCAACACCAAAAAATGTATCACTTCACTTTAGAGAGGGTTAGTCTTGACGTATAAATACTCACAATACTATTTTTATTCCAAAATGAATTTTCATCTCAATAATTCGCATTGATCATACACCATGTTTTGTCCCAACACTTTCTACTTTAGAGTAGGCAAATGGAAGTGTCATCGACTGTCACAGGTACATGATTGTCTTTTACAGCTAAGGAAGTAACTAAAAGCATGAACACAATACAGACACATCTCCCGTTCGGATTTGAAGTGTCGAGACTTCTGCATGAATATTATTCAATGTTCTATAGTTCCTTTCATAACTGCAGTGATCTTGACCCTGAGTTTTTTTTTATTGCATACTAAATTACTTTGACAAAGATAGTTCAAATAATACAAAGCCCTGAATCAGGAAAAGTTAAAAAAAAAAAAAAAAAACACCTCCAGGGGGTTGTTTCAAACAATAGAAGATTAGCCTCTTTAAAATTTTGGTCCTTCATGGAATGACGGAAGTGATTTCATCCTCAATACATACTCGCCTTAGCTGAAAAATAAAATTATTTACATCCCACTTCTTTTTCTTAGCTCAGTGGAGGATATATCCATGCAGAACTGTTCAGCTGGAATAGAGACGAACATGTCTTTTAGTTCCTCTGGAATATCAATATCGTCAAGAACCTGTAACACCACACAATGGCCTCACTAATACTGTACTTGAAAGAGAAGAATATCAAATTATAATTACTCTATCTTTTTTTGCGGTAGTACCTTGAAAACGCCGTCTACATTTCGACCACCGACAAGAAAAGTACATTCTATTTCTTTACAGCCAATAAGTATCTTCAGCATCTTTTTGTAGTCCCCATCGTAGTATTTAGGCTGCAAGAGTAAGATGTAAGAATTTGAAGATGATAGTTAATAAGATCTATTGAATCAACAACTATGTACACATATTCTTAACTGTAAAGACAATACAAACTGAGTGTATTGATTAGGTGAGTTCAATACCCTTCATACTTAGTGGCTTGACATCCACTATAAAGCAGTATAAATAGAAAACAAAGAATGAGACATTTCCTGTTTCTTCCTATTTTCTTATTTTTCTCTTTCTTTTTTACTCTTTGAATTTTACATAAACATAATTATGTTTACTGCTGAAGTTATATGTTTCCATGAGGATATTCAGTAAGCTTAAGAGTTTCGGTTTTCTATTAGAAGTTTTTTTTTTTTTTTTTTCAAGTTACAATCTAGTATGTAGTCAAAGCAGCCAATCTGGTATATAGGTCCTTCTTCAAGATCAGTCAGTCTGTCTGAAAAATTCCTTATCTCAGTTAGTTCATCTTCAAGGAGAAATAAAAGTTTCAGTGTGCTAGACAGAAACTTCATAAATAGGAAACATTCTAAAAATAAATAAACAATTTGTTCCATAAAAATCAGTCCATTTTAGGAATGCCATGGCACAAGCACGAGACTGCAGATTGATAGAGAATGCATCAGGGAAACATAAGACAGTCAGATTGCTCTAACCCCTTGAGCTATAAGAAAACAGCACAAACAATACGTTTTCTGAAATAACATTCTATTGAATAAAATGTGCCATTCCTGTTTTCCAAAACAGCACTGTCCAAAAATAAAATTAAAAATTATGCGGGACAGTGAAATGATCCAGCATAAACCAGGCATTGAGCTGCTTTACAAAATGACGTTAAATCCCTAGAAGGCAAGTCAAACACAACTAATGAAACAATCAAGTAAGTATTAACAAAGTGCAAGACATGACATGGTAAATGAAAATCATGTAAAATTGATCCAAGCAGCAAGTAATTACATACATTAATAAGCCTCACTGCTGTGTCAGCACCAATTACAAAAGCACTGCCTGGAAAAAGTTCAGCCTTCTTATAAAAATAAGGTTGATTTGATATAATTACTGTTTTTCCTGCCAAAGAAGTAGATAAATTATTTACTCTCTAGGTGGTCCATTCAACAATAACAAACTATGTACTCAAAAACAGCATTAAACGCCCAAGTATCACATTGATATATGAGCTTATTCTAACAAACTTAGACACAACATGTGAATCCTATGATGTATTCACCGTGCAAACAGACAGGTAAGAACCTATTGTTGGAAAGAAAAATAGAAGCAGAGTTCCCTTCATAAATTAGTAGAAAAAATTATATTTAACAAAGTTGAGTACTTAGAAGTTAAGACGATGCCTTTTTAATGTAGAATAAAAGAGAGCAAAAATCAATCTCACCAGCTTTTTCAAATTGTTTGACTCGATCTTTAATCTAAGACACTGATATTTTTAATGCAGAATAAAAGAGAGCAAAAATCAACCTCACCAGCTTTTTCAAATTGTTTAACTCGATCTTTGATCTGAGACACTGATAGTGGAGGTTTGTCTGCATTGACCGCAGATATTTCAAAGCAAGGATACCCATCACCACAAATGCTGCATAGATGTATTCTTAATAAGAGAAATATTGAAATAAAATTAAAACTCATACATAGATTACTGATCTTAACTAGATTCTCAAAATAGATTTGATACAAAAGAAAGTTATGACTTTTTATAATACAATGCAAATTTTACACTCATTACCCAATCAAATATCATATTTGAATATTTTAATTTTGACACAATGTCAACTTTAAAAGAGAATACTTTATTATCAACAGCAGCTAATTATGACGGAGGACATTCAATTTTTTCAATAAGTACAATATAATAGAAGATGCTAGACTAACTTCTAAAAGCATTAGAAGGGTACCCTCTTGAAAGGCACATATCCATAACAAGCACATTAAGAACCAGAGAAAAATAAGAAATAAGCAATTCGTGCTAGTCCATTAAATTAACCAATGAAACAAACAATTGAGCATTTTTTTAATGAATAACAAGAGTGACATGTACCGAGAAGCAACTTCCATAAGCTTGAGATGCCCATCATGTAATGGATTGAAAGAACCAGGCATTATAATTCTCCTTTGCGCTGGCAACTCTGTAACCCAAGATAAAAATTTACCAATAAGAGAATGGAATTTAAATGTAAGTGTATTAGTATTAATATTGCTTTTACTCAAAGGTTTAACCATACCATTTGCAAATGGGTAAATTTTATAGCATATTTCACCATTTATAAGTTGTTCTAACTGTTGATCTTCATTGAACTGCTTTTCACATTCATCAAATACATCTGATTCACTCAATTCTGAAACAGATGTTGCAGGAACTTTGCATACGTTTGCGATTGCCTAGAACCAGAACAGAGAAGGGAGTAAAAACAAAGCCAAAACACAGTAAGATTTTGAAACAAATCAGAGGTAAGAAATAAATTAAAGTTTTGCTTCCAATCATTCCTGTTCTCATTTTACAAGTTCTCCAATGATCTTAGACATACTCTTAAAAAAGAAAGAAAAAGAAGAAAACTACTCATGAGAGCAAATAAATAGCAAAACAAAAATATTTACAACTTTTCTTCACACCAGTCACACACCTTGAGCAAAAGATGACTAGAAACTCTATCCTCTTCTTCTCGAGTACGAAGGCCCTAAAATAAATATAAAGTTTTACATAAAGAATATAGCACATATATCAATTATCACATGATTAGCATCAAGTTCAGAACAACACGTGGAACAAAGAGAGGATAACACTAGTACCTTAGTCAAGGTCACTCTTGAAATCCAAAGTCGATCAGCTGTCCTTGTTGACATATAAAATCTGCAAATGAACACAAAATAAGTTCAGATGGGATTAGTCTTTGCCCAAAATCACATTTAGGAGTAAAAGGGAAGCACAATTGTGCACTATGAAAAGAGCCTCTTTAAAGAAAATGTGACAAATTAACGTGAAATGCAGAAGCAATGCACATTCCAATAGTTGTGATCAAGACTCTGTTGTACATTTATATATATAAAATGACAAATACAACTTGCTTCCCAGGGTAAATGTGCACAGCCTTACAACCACTAGAAGAAAGACTGCTTTTTGAACACTTGATCTCCAAGTCACAAGGCAACAAACTTGCCATTGTGTCAAGGCTTGCCCTCTACTAATACAACTTGTTGCATTTAGGAAAAATATATCTTCACAGGAAATCATGGGCAAAATAATAGCAAGAGAACATAGAAAAAACATTAAAAGTGCTGTAATAATATTCTCACTCTCACATAGATGATAAGCTTGCTATCATTTTTAATTGCTGTCCAAAAGGTTCCACCAGCATGTTTTCTAATTTCTTATAATCCCACCAAACTTCTCAGTGTTTTCCTACAAAATTTGATTTACAAACTCAAGCACGTTATAATATAACCCACCCCTGCCTCATCACAAGTATGATTCACCTATTGCAATCCTTGGAGTAGTCTCACAAGATGGTGTCAGGTTAATATCACAAGACTAGCTTGCAGATGTGAATTTCTTTTCATAAACAGTAAAATAACTCTAAAGGACCAGGCGTACAGCACGTTCAAACAAAACTGGGAATCCCCAAGGCCGTAAGGCTGAAAGATGGAAACTAGTATATGCCAATGCAGTAAAAAAAGCGACATATAGGCCAATAGTAACTTTTTCAGAAGTTAAGCAAATGAGAAAACCATTGAAAAATGTAATGTATAGGCTGAAACTGAGTACAGTGAGGCCTCATTAACCATTTTTGTAGATAGGACAAATTTAGATGATACCTGTGTTCCCCAAGTTTTGGACGATCGCTAGCCAAGGAACCAGTGAAGCCCACGCCAACAACCGGGGATCCTAATCAACAGGTAAATGAAGATCACCTCCGTTCATATTGGCAGAAAACACACACAACAGTTGCAATCCATCCAAATTGTAAAAACATTTTTAATGAAGCCACAGTATCCATGTTTCAGTTTTCACACAACAACAAAAGAACCTGGCGTGGAGAGTTTAAGAGCACGATTATAAGCCAACAAAGCCATATCTTCAGCGGTCTGTTGACTACAAAACTGGGATGGAATCTGAATATTCATTAATAAAACAATAAGAAAAAAAAAAAAAAAAACAGAAAAAGTGTCTGTTTAGAAGTTGAAATAGAAGGAACCTTTCCAATTAACTGAAGCAATGACATCTTAGAGTAAGGAACAACAACTTCAAGCACAGTATTAGAAGCACCTGGAACTGATAGCAACCAACCCACAACCTGATAGAGTTCAATCACTATTCAATCATTTATTCATTCAATACTGTGCAATCAAATACACGCATATATAGATACATAGATAGATATAGAGAGAACCTGAGAAGCTCCACCAGCGAGATGAAGAACGGCTTTGAAAGGGGAAGAGTGTACGGCTTCAACTGCGGTTCGGATGCCACTTTCCGTCATTCTCATTCTCTTCAACTTTCTTTCCTCTCCTCCCCCTCTTCCCATTTAACGCCATCGCCGACGTGTCGTTTTAACCGAAACGACAAGCTCCATCACATGTCACGACGTTTTTATCAAATAAATAAATAAATGACTTAAATATATTATTAGTTCTTAATATTAAAGTATTTTTCTGTTTTCAAAATTTTTATTTTAGTCTTATTAAATAATGTTAATTTGATTAATAAATATCCAATTAAAATCTGTCATATTACTAACTCATTTTACATGTTAAAAAACTTATACAAATAACAGATTAAAATTACATCATTCAGTCATATACAACATTATGTTTAGACATTAGCAAATATAAATAATATGTAAAAATAATGATAATATTTAAACTTTAATTATTTTAAGACTAATCTTTTACATATAGTAACGCTAAACTTATGAATTTAGTCCTCAAAGATTTATATGGCATTAATTTAATTTTTAAAAAATGTGATTTGAAATGAAAATTTAATCATAAATGGTTTTAATAATAATCCGTTTAAATTTTTGTAAAATACTTATTTAGCACTGGAATTTTATTAAACAAGATTTTATTCTTCCTTAATAAATTAAATTGTTAATCTAAGCAATATTAAAATTTAAAACTTTAAATAAATAACATTATAAGAAAAAAATACAAAGGCATGTTTATGAAATGATCGGGTGCCACAAGTCAACGGCAGTGGAGAGTGAGGTAACGCCCATACCTGACGATGGTGGGGTGGGCTCAATGGTGATGCTCATGTTGCCGTTATTATTTCTATTTCCACGTCCACCGTGCCCCCATTTTGTCTCCATTTTATAATTCTCTAAATTTGTATTAATCTATCTAAATACAAAATAGGAATTTTTATTTTTAATTAAATTTTTTGAAGAGTTGTTTTTTGTTATATTATAAAATTTATTTTAAATTAATATTTAATCTCATTATATTTAATTAAATAAATTGTTTATTATTAATAATCATTATAATTTATAAAAAATCAAGTTTAAAATAAATACATAATTAAATAACCATTATTTTTAATTCAATATTTATATTATTATTAATATGTAAAAATTAATAGAAATTAATAAAATAAATACATAATTAAAAATGATAATTAATATTTAATTTTTTAATAAAAATGTAAACAAAAAATATTTTAAATAGATAGATAGATAAATTAATAAAATACAGATAAAAATGTTAAAAAACAGTTTTAATACACTTATCTCAATGTACTTTAAATTATTTATTAAAATTATTTAAAAAGATAAAAAATCATTAAATTAGGAGTAATAATACAAATAAAATAAAACAGATATTTGTTAATTAATTTTAATGATAATGAAAATATATTAAAAAATTATGTTGCTAATCACTCTCATAAATAAAATATTTACTAAACGTGACTTTGCTATAATCAATGACTAGACTAGTGTGAACTCCAACGTTAACTTGGGAGTAGGGTACCCCGTAGAGTCTTGTTGCCACACAGGAACCGTTACTTGCGCGCTTCACAATCACACGTCAATTTATCGTTATTTTATCGCTACCGTTTTCCCCTTCGTAACGTGGAATTTTCGCAAATTTGGAAGGGCTTATCCTTGAGCAGTGCGCTGACACGTGTCGTGCGATCACAACGTGTCGGGAGCAGCGGAGCCCACTAGACGGGAAGATCAGAATGGCTCCTCACCAATCATATCATATGCGGATATCTCCCCAAGTAATACTCTCTTTTCGCTGCATTTGCCGTTGTTTTGCAGTCTTCATCAATTGCAGAAGTTCATGTTTATACAAGGTAATTCATGCATTATGGTGGTCATCGTAGCGTTATAATCTTTAACATTTATATTAATAAGGGATCATCGATGATTGGAATTACCTTATACAAACTGGTAAAGATGCATGATTCTTGGGCAATGATAAAGAAAATAATGAAGATAAAATAAGTGTAAATATTTATTTTATTTCAGGAACAAAGATCACAAAGTGGTTCGTAATTATAGCCATGTCTCCGAAACGGTTCAGGAACAATAGAGAGTAATCATAGCTGTCTATTGTTGTCTTCGTCCCAAGTACTGGAAAGTGGATCCCCTGTTCAAACCCCACCCAGGGTTTCTAATTTTCTTTAAAGATCGTTGGCAATTTAAAATTCCAATGGAATCCTTATCTGAACGACCCCAGGTCCAAGTACAAAATGTGCAGCAATGTTTAGTTTAATTTAATTTAATTTAATGTAATGTAATTTTCTCATTTTGTTAATAATTCTTCAATTCCATGATTTTGATTTGCTATGTGTATGTAAGACTTACAATAATTATGCTAAAACATCTATATTAACCGAGAGTCATAACTGAGTCTGAGTTAGAGGTAATTTTTTTAAAACTCAAAATACAGATAAAAACAATTTAATAATAGTTTTCAACGATATTGAATACATCAAATTTATTATCGTTCACCAAATATAAATTATAGTAATTACAAAACACAATTAAATCAAAGATAAAATGTATTTTAAAATCCAAAGTCGAGATAAATTCAATCAATAATTTCCAAGGGTGTGAAGTATATAAATTTATTCGTATACACCAACTCGAATGATTGCATCCACCTTGTTTATCTAAAATCCGTTCAGCGTATAACGTAACGTTGAGTGAACAAAAAAAATGTTAGCAATTTTATTCCTTGTTTGGCATAAGAGTAAAGAGAGCTTAATTGAATAGCAAAAAAAAAAAAAAAGAGCTTAATTGACAAAAATTTTGCAAGCTCCATAGTTTTTAAATTACGTACCAAGACTAGGAGAAAAATCAAATTCTCATATGAACCTCATTTTTTTCCACTTGTTTTGGAAACCATTTGAGTGAATGTTAGAATAAGACTAACAACAAATTGACAAAAAAATATATATATTACATAACTAGATTAAATTTGAATTTGAATACACAGTACGATTCTAAATTTTTTAGAATTAACACTTTGTTATATACACAGCTGTTTGAAAGAGAGAGAGAGAGAGAGAGATAAAAAGTGCATATTTACAAAAATATGTTACTATGAGTAATGTTATGTAAAATAAGGAATCCAAATCTATTTTGCGTATATTATTCGTACTTTTCATATTTTTACATAATTCACGTTACTTGTTAATCACATCATAAATTAATTATGCGCAGCATTCTATCGTATAGCAATTAATGAGTCTAGCAAAAATGTTATTTATGCAGTACATGGTGTTTAAAAACTTATCTATAAAACTAATATATATATATATATATAATCATTTCATAGACATTTTTCTTATCATGTATATATTCAAGGATTTACCTGTTCATAAATAACAATCCCTTAAGAAAAAATTATGGGAAAAAAGTTCAATTCTGTTATATTCGTAGGACAAATTAAATGTTATTACTAAAAATAAAGAAAAAGAAGAGGTACTCTTTATCGCGAGAATTTGAGGATGATATCGTGTCGTGACTCGTGTGTGAGGCGTTCACACACTCTCTCTCCGCTGTCTCTCACTAAAAACCTTGTATCTCTCCCCGAGGTTAAGGCCTTGGCTTTCCCATTCTTCAACCCTCTCTCATTCACTACTGTTAAAGTGTTTCTCTGACCTCAAAAGCCTGCATTGTCTTCCTTTCTTTCTTTCTACCTTTCCCTTCGCATTGTTATACCGATCCAACTAAGCTATAGCTAACCTTTGTTCTCTTCTCTGTAACTGTGGTTCTCTTTTCCCCCTGTATTTTGGATTTGCTCCAACGGTCACTTAGTTGGAGGAAGAGAAGATGTTCCCTTTTGTTTTGCTGTTCTTTCTTCTTTGCTGCAATTTTCCTGCACCTGGGGTTTCTCTGAATGCTGAAGGCTATGTGCTTTTGACACTGAAACAGTCCATCACAGACCCACAAGGGTGTATGAGTAACTGGAATTCTTCCGATGAAAACCCTTGTTCATGGAATGGGATCAGTTGCAAGGACCAAGCTGTTGTGTCAATTAGTATCCCAAAAGGGAAACTTTATGGCTCTCTTCCTTCAACTCTAGGATCCCTTTCCCAGCTTCGCCATGTGAACTTTAGGAACAACAAGCTCTTTGGAAACTTGCCTGCACAGCTCTTCCAAGCTCTGGGACTGCAAAGTTTGGTGCTTTATGGCAATTCATTTTCTGGGTCTGTTCCAAGTGAGATTCAGAAGCTCAGGTACCTTCAATTTCTTGATTTATCACAAAATTTCTTCAATGGGACATTCCCTGCTTCAATTGTCCAATGCAAGAGGCTCAAAACCCTTATTCTCAGTCGGAACAATTTCACTGGCCCTATGCCGGATGGCTTTGGTACTGGTTTGTTTTCTCTGGAAAAACTAGACCTTTCTTTCAATCAGTTCAATGGTTCAATTCCCAGTGACATGGGAAATCTATCAAGCCTGCAAGGAACTGCTGATTTGTCTCATAATCATTTTAGTGGTTCAATCCCAGCCAGCCTTGGTAAACTGCCTGAGAAGGTTTACATTGATCTCACTTACAACAATTTAAGTGGCCCAATACCGCAAAATGGTGCCTTAATGAATAGAGGACCAACTGCTTTTATTGGCAATCCTGGTCTATGTGGCCCTCCTTTGAAGAATCCATGTGGTTCTGATACTCCAGCTGCGAGTTCACCTTCCTCATTTCCATTTATGCCTAACAACTATCCACCTCAGGATACTGGTAATGGTTCCAGGGAAAGTGAGAAAAACAAAGGGCTTAGTAAGGGAGCTGTGATTGGCATTGTTGTGGGTGATTTAATTGGAATTTGCCTCTTGGGTTTGCTGTTCTCTTACTGCTACTCAAGGGTTTGTGGCTTTAACCAGGATCTGGATGAAAATGGAGTTAGTAAGGGAAGGAACGGCAGGAAAGAGTGCTTCTGCTTCAGAAAGGATGAATCTGAGGCCCTATCTGACAATGTTGAGCAATATGATCTTGTTCCACTAGATTCCCAGGTAACCTTTGATTTGGATGAGCTTCTTAAGGCTTCAGCTTTTGTTCTGGGTAAGAGTGGAATAGGGATTATGTACAAAGTGGTTCTTGAAGATGGACTTGCTTTGGCTGTGAGAAGACTGGGCGAGGGAGGTTCTCAAAGGTTTAAAGAGTTTCAAACAGAGGTTGAAGCAATAGGAAAGTTAAGACATCCTAATATTGTGACCCTCAAAGCCTATTACTGGTCTGTTGATGAGAAGCTTCTCATATATGATTATATACCCAATGGAAGCCTTGCTACTGCAATTCATGGTAAGTTTCATTAAGGACAAGCCTTTTCTTTTTTCACACACTTATTGGCAATTGCTGATCTTTTGGCCTAACAATTTGTTCATTTGATTGTTTGGTTTCATTTTTATGTCCTCAGGGAAGGCTGGACTCGTGTCATTTACACCCCTATCTTGGTCCTACCGATTGAAAATCATGAAAGGAACTGCAAAAGGATTGGTGTATCTGCATGAATTTAGCCCCAAAAAATATGTCCATGGAGACCTCAAACCAAGTAACATACTTCTAGGACATAATATGGATCCCCACATTTCTGATTTTGGACTTGGGCGCCTCGCAAATATTGCTGGAGGGTCTCCAACCTTGGAATCCAACCGAGTGGCTTCAGAAAAACTACATGAAAGACAAAAGAGCTTGTCCACTGAAGTCACGACTAACGTTTTTGGAAACGGTTATCAGGCTCCAGAAGCACTGAAAGTGGTGAAGCCATCACAGAAGTGGGATGTTTATTCATATGGTGTGATATTGTTAGAAATGATCACAGGAAGATTACCCATTGTCCAAGTGGGTAACTCAGAAATGGACCTTGTTCAATGGATTCAGTTCTGCATTGAGGAAAAGAAGCCACTCTCGGACGTGTTGGACCCATACTTGGGTGAAGATGCAGATAAAGAGGAGGAGATGATTGCAGTTCTGAAGATTGCAATGGCTTGTGTTCATAGCAGCCCTGAAAAGAGACCTACAATGAGGCACGTGCTTGATGCTTTGGATAGACTGTCCATTTCATCTGATTGAAATTTCAGGGAGCATTGCATTGTGAAATCCAGCTTGTTTGTGAAGCTTTTGCCTTTTTCTTCTTGGTAACTCTTAAGAATGTCTTCTAGCTGATGAATCCTTGTAATTGAAGCACTGTAAAAGAAATTGAATTTCTTTGAGGAAAAATCATCAATTTTTCTGAGATTATTCTTTTTTTGGACCATTACATAGGACCTATAAAGGCATGCTTTTGGGGGCTCGTTACCTTTTCCCACTTTTTATTTTACCTGGTGTTATGTGTTATGTGTGTGTGTGTATAATTTACGATGCATATGATCAAAATTAGTTTTATTTCTTTTAAGGCAAGCCATCCGTTTACTATCAAACTTAGTTCTATTCACTGTACATGAATGGCGAGAATCGAAGAATAGTCTCAAAAGAACAGTGTTACATGATGGATTTGTTATTGTCATGCTTCAGTCTCACCCTTGGTGAATAAATTATTTTATAATAGAGGGTGGTGGAAGGACTAGCTTCACGAGACACAAAAGCTAGCTAGGATTGTAACTGTTCTACCCGAATACTAATTTGATTGGACGTTTTATTCCTAAGCTCTTTGAATCAGTATCGGAATGGGGTTAACGTATCATTCTCTAATCCTGTTCTTTCTTCTTTTATTGCTGGTTTGAATCATGCGTCATTCAACAAAGAATGCCTGCCATCACTTTGTTAATGGGTTTTAATGTTCGACTTGTGATTGAATAAGTACCCAGTTGAAAGAAGTAATAGGGAGCTTATTTGAGTTTATGAAAGTATTCTTGATTAATAATTTTTTATTTAGTTAAGTTTATTTGTGTAATTTATGAAAATAACTTTTAATTTAAATTTTAATATATCCTGATCAGATTTATCGTATAATTTTTTATGTAATAACAAATCAATAAATTATATTATTTATTCAAATGTATCTTAATTTCATGTTTTTAAGCTTTTTTTAATTTAGAAGTTTCTGTATTAACTTTTTATCTTTTTTTTTCTTTTAAACTTTTTCTTTCCTTCTCCCTCCAAACTCCCAAATAAAAAACTTAAATAAGAACATTTTAAAAATTAAAAGAAAACATTTTTTCTAAAGTTTTACTATTTTAAAAATAAGAAAAATAAAACATTGATTTCACAGATATATTAATTATATTTAGTTGCTTTCACTTTACGAATTTTAATAATTTATTGAATTTTTAATTATCATTTTTATTTATTCCTCGTGTTGTTATATAAGATGCATGTACACTGCATAAGACTATATATGTTGACTACAATTGATAAAGAAGTCGTTGGACTTGGGATGGCCAAACCATGTGGCGCAAATTTAGGGAAAGTGGACTCCAACAATACGTTGGAAAATTATTGGCTGTAATTTGTATTTAACTGCTAATTAATCTTATTATCCTTCTTTGACAAAGACAGCATTCTCTCAGTTTTAATTTCACATGGTTCACTGTGAATGTTGTGACAGAACTGAAATATTAAAAAAAAAAAAAACTTTGTGTCACTTGTGTTTTATTGGAGACTAAATTTCTTAGGCTAATGCTTTTAACAAATTGGAAGTTGTATATCTATTCTCTTCCTTATACAAAGAAAACCCAAAATATGGGAAAATAAAAAAAAAAGTTTTAAGGCCTTTTCATCTCCTTTCTTACAAGCAATAAAATAAGTTGAGTATGAATGAAGAACTTTGATCTAAGCCAATGGAGGGAAACATGTCTTCGTCATGGTGAAAGCAACTTGAGACAGCTGTGTTTGCCAAATTAGTAGCATGAAATTTGAGAAATAATGGAGAATAGTTGCCCGAAAGTCATTGCTATATGCTAGGTATTACTTTAATGCAACAATGTGGTCCTTAGCTACAGAATAGCCAAGGACCAGTGTCACCCAAATTAAGTCTTAATTCATTGATTGAAATTTAGAAGTGAAGCGTGTTATGTAATCATTAAATGGAATACTAATAAATACTTTGCAATTTTCCATTAGGACTTGCTTGAATATCTAAGATACCATGTGCACCCATCAAGTTTTACATAGCAAGACAACTTAACGGAAGGACATGCACTAAAACAACTTAGGTTTCTACTAAAGCAAGACACACAAAATTTAGGTGTATCTAGATGAACAAGAAACTGCATTCTTTCTTGCAATCCTTAACCGCTTCACACATTCTATAAACTCTCTGCGTGAAAAAATAAAAACTGGAAGTTAGAATTACTGTTTAATTATAAATGAAGTAGAATAGAATGTAGAAAGTTGGTAAGTCAAATGGGACCTACTTCCATGGTCCATCACCGACAACCTTCCAATTATCTTGTCTATCCTTGTAGAACAATGAGTACTCTGATCCCGATTGAAATAATCGTAACCCAGAAAGAGATTGGCTTCCTGAATGCATGGTACAACCAGTTAAAAACATGATACTAATTATAAATACAAATTTAAACTATATTGTAATTGCATTAATATTGACTATGCCCCACCAAACATGTCTTCTAATTGGAGTGCTAGACTTGAGTATCCACCGTGATCAAGCACACAAATTTTCCTTCCAATGGTAACACCATCCATGTTAACCTTCACATATGCCCATCTCTCGTTGCTCTGGACCCCCTCTATATCTTCATCAAAATTTTCATGGACAGATCTAGAATGCAGTGTGCTTGAATTCTTGAGATTGAGATTAGAGTGAGGCCAATCCACAAGGTCATGATCATACACTGAATCCAAACATAATTTCATTGGACTATAGGTATATTTGGATCAACAGCTTCAAAAGTATTTAATCGATGTTTTAACTTACGGGACTTTCTATTATAAATTTGATCGTAAAATTCATTGAGAAGAGTTTTAATTTTTTTCAATAAGTTACAAAAAAAATACTAAAATAAATTAAACCATTATGGAAGTTATAATTTTTTTTTATAAGTTCTCCATAATTTTTCAAAAATATCTTTGTATAGAGAGGCATCTCTCTCTTGAGTAGAAAATTAAACAAAAAAATCGTATGGTTAAAGGTCACAACTTGAAGTTTAATTAGTCAATCTTCAATTTCATGTTAACAATATCAATAACGTAACTCAGTCTCAGATGAATCATCTATTTATGTACTGAATCCTTACTTTTGCGTTTAGTTTGTATGATTGTATCAAATCTTTTTCTTAACTCAAATGAGTCATCCAGAGAACAACATTGGGGGGGGGGGGGGGTTACTGTTTATTTGCTCAAGACTACAAACAAAGAGCATTTCACACGACTGAATCGAATTGAACTACGTTTTTTTTTTATCATTCAAAAATATCTGAGAAAACAGCCTATGGAAAACAAGAAAAAGAGTTGAAGAGTTAAAAGAATGAACGAGGGGGTGAAGGCATACAGTTGGCAGAAGAATGATAAGCGTCATGTTGAACAGTTCCAAGACTAAGACCCAGATCAATTATGCCATCATCCTGTTTGTCTTGGTAGAAAACTGAGTGCAAAGTTGAAGAGTTCAAAAGGAAGCTTGATGAGGTAGAATCCATTGGGAATAAGTGAACTTAAAATAGTGAACTTGTGAACGTAGGTATTGCTGGTAAATGCCTATTGAATTGCAATGGTATTGGTACACTTACCTATTTATAGTGATGATTTTGAGTATCTAAAAGACATATCCAAGGGCACATGGAAGACAAGGAAACCTCCTCCATTATCAATCATTAAATGCACAAAGCTTATCTTCTGTTAATGTCAACATGGAACACAAGGTAAAAACAAAACACCACAAGAACAAAGAATGGCCAATTTGATCCTAACTGAAGTTATTCTGGATTCTGCTTCCTGACATTGCTACAAATGCTCAGACTCTTCTTATTATGTCAATATTCCATGCCGATAGTAAGTAACCCGAGGAAAGCAAATGAAAACAATGAATATTAAACTGCTTGAACCAACATATAAATATATTAGGAAAAATTGATGGGCTAATATACTTTTTCTCATAACTGCAGTCTTGTTAATCTACTAGCAACATTTACAGTGTAATATACTTTTTGAATGATTCATAACGTTGAATCCCACACTGAATCCCTCTTCTTGTTCATATATATAGGTTAAATATATACATCATGGATACTATATTTGTACAACACGTTACTATGCATCACTTTAATTTTCATCTCTCACCAATTCTTGCATAGGGGATCCACATGTGCTTTGGTCATGTAAGGAAATCAATCATATACAAGACTTTGATGTCAAAAAGTGATGTAATTATGTAAATGAGGACGCATGTCCAAAAATAATTTCAATGCATTATCCATGTCCCAAAAAACAATACTTTCGAATATTAATTAATTACATACAAATACGAGCAGTGCAACTCACACACATTTTTTGGCCACCAAAAATTTCACACCCATGTCTAGAGATTAATGTAACACTTGAAATCCAATTTGACATACTTATAGGTATTTAATAACTTGCATAGGGAGAGCATGTTTTTATATAAAAAATAAATAAAGGCATATAAGTGGACTTGATGATTAGGGTTTAAGGGCTTGAACTTAAAAAAAAAATTGCAACTTTTTGTCCTTAAGCGCTTATCACACATAAAAGCAACGTGAAGATATAGGCATAAAGGTCACATTTGAATATTTGTTTTCGAGTTATCTACATATATGACAGGACTGCCACGTTTCAAGGGAACAGAGATCTGGTCGGATCGCAACATCCCACGCCACTCTGCTTTAGCAGCAAATGTCCTTTCTTCTCCCTTTTTATGGGTTACAATTTGGAAGTGTGGAGAAAAAAATGTAGAGTTCAGCAGTGGTACCGAATTACAATAGGTTAACTTCCATATTCATTCTAACAAGCACCATATATTATAAAATGGGGTTCGGTACTGTGTCTCCACGTAAGATGTTAGCATTCCTGAATCAAATATAATACCCAAAGCATTTGGTAGTCTGATATCTCAGTATTTTAAATACATACTATGATTCGAAATTGAGTTATATTATTTTTTAAAATTTTTCTTCATTGCATTAACTATATCTCATATTTTTCTTTCTAGCATTCTTCTCTTCTTATCTCTTTCTTTATTATATAAGTTATATAAATTTATTATACAAATACAATTTCTCTTCAAGATTTAATCTTGACAGGTTTAATTAGCAAAAGAACATTTGACACATCAATTCCTTGAGTAATATCCTCTACATGTGACGATTCTTGTAAATAATAGCAAGGATAGTTGATTCAAACAGTTCTTGGGATGTAAAGATCAGCAAAAGAGGCCTGTGAACACAAATGCGGAGGACGAAACTATTGTTGGAAATATTTATGACACAACACAATACGCTTATCTGCTTGTGCTTGGCCTATTGATCTTGCCACCGTTGCTTCTAACGAAGGCAATGGTGTCTCTGTTTCAACTCCAAAACATGTTCAGAATGATCAAAGCAAACTGAAGGTTGTTTGTTCTGGGAGTGATAAAACATTTTACTGTTTTCAATTTAAAAGTTAAGAGGTTAAGTGAAAAAAAAGTTATTTAAACAAGCGTAAAATGAGAAAGAATAACATGACATTTAATTAAGAAAATAAATGTTGATTAGTACCTAATTATAAGTTATTAAATTGAATGAGAAAGAATAAGTGAAAAATAATTCTTTTATTTCAAAGTTGAATTTCTAAAAGTTATTAGTTACTAAATTGTTTTTTCAATAAAAACAATGCTTTTAAGATTAACGTTAACTAACATGCACTAGTTAAGAAAATAAGAAATTAATAAAATAAGATTTTATTTTATAAAAAAAATAATACTAATTTTTATCTTAAAGTAAAAATATTTAATAAATATATTTAATATGTTTAAACAATTTTCTAGTAATTTAATCACAATGAAATTTCAACCTATTATAAAACTTCTCATAAATAAATGACATAATATTATTAATAAACAAACGCATAATGCACAAGAGACTTAAAAAGAAACATATTAAATTATAAATATAAAAAATTAAAAATTCAAATCAACAAAAACTTCAATTTTATTTTGCTTTCTTACCATTCTTTTCCACACATTGTTTGTCCATTAGAGATATTCAATTCAATTCTTTCACTTCACTTATAAATGTCATGTTATATATGCCGTTTTTATTGGTCAAGATGTTATATATGCATTAAATTTTATTACAATGTTTAAATAAGTGAATTTTTTTGGTTTGACCCAATATGACTGACAAAATTTCCAAATTGTTTATTTTCCTATAAGTTCATAAAAACATGATGTCGTTAGCAATCCGTTTTTCAGTATAGCAATGGAAAACGTTGCTTGTACATTCCAATATAGCTACACCTTGAGAGATAAACAAAAAGGAAGAATGAGAAAATATGATGAGTGATTTAATAAGGAAAAAAATGATGTTCTATTATATTTAAAACTTTCTTTGATAACCTGTTGCATGCATCAAAGAAACCGCCTAAGTCTCCCAACACTTTATAAAGAAAAGAAAGAAACCACTTAACCTTCTCATAAAACAATAACCATGCCGCCCAACTTTTGCAAGTGAATCAACTAAATAAATGTCATCTAAAGTGTAAGCACAACTATAGATGGAGCATCCATCCATGTCAAGAAATGCAGACCAGAGGAGGCTTATCAGGCACTCCATTTGGTCAAACGCATTCAAGAAACCTAGGCAAGTTATAGTCACAATAATGTATCATGTACAAAATTCTGTACATAAATCATACACCCATTCAGAGGCAATGCTGCAAATATTTTTTTTTTTTTACAAACTCCTCATAATTCCTATTACTATCGTATTTCAGTTCAGAGTCCTACCCTTTACTGCAATGGTTAGGAAACATAAAACTCCACACTCCAATGCACAAAAGGTCTGATATTCATTCGGCTTTTCTGCATCATTAAGTACCAAGTAAAGTAACCAAATTAATAATTTTGTCTGTAAACAACCAAATAGACGAGTGCTGCATAAGTTCTAGGAATGCATACAAGGCAATGAGAGAAAGCTTGTCATACCTGTTTGGAGATATAATTATCAAGCATGATCCAAGACTAATGTATTTGATCAAAATTGATGTTGTACATCACTTGTCGTGACAACTAAGAAATTCAATTATACAGGGATACACCTGATCCACAGCCTGTGCTCAAAATATGCATATAATAGAAAAATAGACCAATTATTCGCGTCAAACAAATTCTTGATACAAAAGAATCAAATGCTTAAGTAAGACGAATAGAAATGGACAAAAGATCAATAATGAAGCAAAAGAAAAAAAAATATATAGTATGAGTAGATGAACTGGAGGAGAAGCCGTGAATTGACCAGAAAGCTATGAAAAAATTCATGTGTGGGACGTCCATTAAGGCCACAACCAATTAATTACAATTTTCTAATATAAAATTAAACTAACAATAACAACCAAAGGATTAAGTCCATACCATCCTTCCTCCAACCAAATCATAGTGAGCATAATGTGGCCCTCCAGGTTTTCCAAAAACTTTATAGGTAGCCAGGTGCTCCGGAATTAGCTTGACAGTTTCTACTCATAAAAGACCTTTAAGAATATTCACTTCTTGAAACAACAAAACAGGCAAACAAAATATCTAAATCTAGGATAAAAAATACCTTCTACTGCTTCAGGAGGACAAATCAGATCCTGGTCCCCAGCAATAGCTAAGATAGGGGTATTACTTTTGTGTAGATGGTCCTTGTAAAAGAAGGTCCCATTCCTATTACATAAACCACGCTCTCGAAATGCTGTTGTGAGCTGCAAGATAAGTTTTGCGGGTATGGTACCTACCAGTTGTAATCACATCATATGGAGGTCAGATACTAATATTGATTATAAGTAAAAATACTTAGGTGCAATGCATGGATATACTGATATTATTCCAGACTAAATTAGTTCAAACCCCAAATATCCTACTAGCTGATTTTAGCAAAAGTAACAATATCTAGAAAGCACATCACAACATCTAACAGGATTAAAGCACATCACTACATCTAACAGGATTACAGCATTCCTATCTCTTAAATTTAATGAAACCAATCAAATCATCACTTCTTGTTCAGAATGTCATGTTCCTTAAAAGTTTAATATCTTACTCTCCTATATCCATGTCTCCAAGGTACAAAGACATTAGGTGCAGGCACATGAATAGTCTAGGCTCACGTACAATGTCAAGAACTAATCTTCCTAAAAGCTTTAGCTATTAGGTGCGCCTAAGCACATGAATAATCTCAGATTTCAAATGGATAGATACTTACAGAAGTTATTCAAGACCAGCCTTCTTAATAAATCTGGATCCATCATGTCCTCAGCTGAAATCAAAGTATTTAACCAGGAGAATACATATGGTGGACGAGATGAAAGAGGATAAGCGGCTGCCAACATTGCCCCTAAAGGAACAACAGGGACATTCAGAGCCTGTGCAGGATCTGCCTGTTTAACAAGTGACTTAATTTAGTATCTTAACAGATATTATGGCAAGTTAAACACTAAATCTATGCAGGAAGTTAGCTGAAACAGCTAAACCATTGACTTACAAGGGGTAAGAGTAACTTTAGAGTTGATTTGGATGACGTGTAGTCCAGAGATGATGCCAGTGTAACTACTGCAGCCAATCTGGGTTCTTTTCCTTCATAACCTTGAATGAAATGAAAACATATACTAAGTAAATAACTTCAAAATTTATTTTATTCAAACAACAGAGCACCAAGACCAAAATATGATAATAAATAAAAGCAAAATGATTAATATTCGATTGAGACTACAAAAAGCTGAAAACTTACCAAACCGTGACAGCATAGAGTAAAGCAGGATACCACCCATGGAGTGTCCAATTGCGAGTAATTTTCCATCTTTTGGCTTGCATTGTTTCATTATGTATTCTATCTGCATAGGTAAAACCAAAATGTCATATAAGAGATAAGCAGCCAGAGAAATTTTCCAGTAAATAATAAAAAAAGGGATGGCGAGTGATATAATTGTTAATCACTGTCAATAAAAAAGTGATTGATTTATAGCTTTCCAACATAATAAGATGTCACCTCACCGCAGCAGGCACGTCTTCTTCCAAGTAATGATCAAAGTCCCAGTCATATTTCACCATCAAGTCAAGTTGCTTCTGAAAATCTTCTATTGTAGTAGTGAAGCGAGCTTGTAGATCAAAAATTTGAGGAGAAACAGATAGCTGACCTTCCTCAATAATATTTACCAGCTTTTGACTCAGATCAGTTATTTGGCTAGTAATGCCAGAGTTTTGCCTTGTTTCCAACAAAGTTGAAAGCTTTCCCCTTATCTCATTGAATTGTTCATATAATGGAGAATCGACCAAAAGTTTTGAAATCTGATCTAATAATTTGGCAAACATGACCTTCGATTGACTTTCACTGAGAAACCCAGACACTCTTTCTGACAAACGCATAAAGGTTTCCGTCAATCTTGCCACCAACTTTGATTCATCCCAAACAGTAGCTAACCTAGTTAAGTCTTCTTTGAAAGTCAATTTCTCAGTTTCTAATCCATTTGGGGAAATAATGTCAGGTTCAGAAACTGCACAAGAGATGTTGTTCAATTCAGTTTTCGAAGCCACAGCTCCATCGATTGCACTCTCCGACACAGCTTCCATCTTCTCAGATATTGCATTGGCAGATTTTTTAATATCATTGGAATTTAATCCCCGAACACTCAATCCAGCTCCTCGTACTTCAAGAATCCAAGTTTCAAATCCCTGACCAGACATGTAACGTGCGAACGATGACTGCATTATATGTCACGTGTTAGTGGGACTCCCAATATATAAAACCAGAAAAGAAAAACATGATAATAAAAGAAATACTACTAACCAACTATAATTAGGCAGAGAACATCGTTAATCAATCAAATATAGGTTCATTGCACAGAATAATATGACGGAAAGCATAATATAGAATCAGAAGATGTATATTGGAAGCATCATTTAAAGGTAGAGGCATTCAGGATTTTGCAATCAAAGTGCAATTATGGTATCCTATATACTTGAAGAATCATCTAATTGCCCACTAAATTCCATAACGAGTTTTCCAGCACAAAGGAAATCACACTCAACGATGACAAAAAACACAACCACGATCAAAAAATGAAAAAAGAAAAAAGTAGAATACCTCAGGGGAAAGGTCATATCCAATGGCGTTGGTCCCCACTCCTGACAAGAGTAACAGAGGGTGATTCCTGCGAGGTGCCTATCAAACAAAGTATTCTATTTTTCATTTTTCAGAAATAAAAAAAAAAGTAATCAATTTATAGAGAGAAAATGAAGAAATAGTTGCAAAGACTAACGAGAGGAGAAGGGTGGTAACGCCAGAGAGCGAGTCTCCAATCGGAATTGGAGAGGGAGACATAGTGGAGCTCGTCGGCGGTGCAAACGGAGGGCTTATCGGAGACGGCAGTGGAGAAAGCCCTGAGGCGGAAGGGTGCGGTGGCGCGTGGGAGATAACAGAAGGTTGAAGATCCTTTGCAGAAAGCAGAGAGCATGTCGGATTGGAAGGACGTGGAGATGGACATGGACAAGGTTGTCATTTTTGGTAACTCGAAACGCAATGCTTCCTTCTATCTCATCTAATTTCGGTTCTGTGGTAATCGGTACTGACTCCTTTTTTTGGTCTCTCTCTCTCTCTCTCTCTCTCTCTCTCTCTCTCACCCACCCACACACACACACACACTCTCTCTCTCTCTCTCTCTGTATGATTTTCAAATTTGTGTTATCTCGGTCAAATTGCTATGGCGGTTGAAACTTTATCCAATTGGATCGCCACCTGAATACTAGCTCGTGTCTTCTTCGTGTGTCTATTTTCATCACTTCTTGGAAAGGAAATTCTTATTTTCCATCTTTAAATATTTGTAGTTTTTCTCGAAAACTTTATAAAAATTGTTATAGATAATATTTTATTTATTTATTGCACCTAAAAAATGCTTTTAATTGAATCTTATCATAAACATTTGAAAGACATTCTCTATGAATAAACAAATGTTTTTTTTATTATATAATCGGTATCCTTAGTATATTCATTAGCATTTTTAAAATCATATAACTACACCTTTCATAAAAATGGATGTTTATCACCTAGTATAAACATCCATACAATAATAACTTATTAAATAACCACTTGATTGATTTATATTCTTAGATATAGTCATCCTCTAAAACTCATTTATACTTCTCTAACACCATTAAAGAAAGAAAAATATATCAAACGCTTCATTTAATATGTGACATACAATCTTACACATTTTATATTAAAATAAATGTGCGTATATTATATATTATACCCCTTTCAAAAGAAGGGGTGTAATAGGCCATGCTTAATATTAATTTTTGTAAACAAAAAAACGTTTTACATTATTTCACTCTTTACATACTTTGCGTAACAACATAACAAAGTAAAGTATAGAAAACGAATGTGTCACACCATTATACTTTATGTATTGCTAGCATATGTCATGCACAAATGTTCAATATTTTACTAATTAAAAAGAATAATTAATACAGCGACCAACTCCACGATTCCTTTCTTATAACCGTTTATTCGACCAGCATTTATTTATGTTGAACTCGATGACACTTTTTAAGGTCCTCTGTATTATTATTAATAATATTATTATTATAATTATTATGATTAATATTATTATTATTATTATTATTATTATGATCATCATCATCATCCAATTACATTTTTTTGTCCTTGAGCATGTGTTTCGCATAACCTCAACACTTGGCAAACATTGCAGGGACAATTATGTTACTAAATTGGTGTTACTTGTAAACGAAGAGCCCATTAGACATTACCAAAAATTGGTACAGGCCAGGCCCAGAATGCTTTTTGAAGGCCAAGAAGCCCACGTGCTGACCCAATGCTTCCTCTTGTTTGGAATTATCACAGCGACGCTCTTCTCGCCTGAGAATACAAAATCAAAAGCTTTCGCCGCGTTCAAATTTTCTTCCTCAGAGGATAGTGAGTGAGAATGCGTAGCAACGGTGTTGAAGTGAAAAGGGTGTTTATTGGAGCAGGATGCAACAGAATAGTCAACAACGTTTCTTGGGGTGCTTCTGGTTTGGTCTCTTTTGGAGCTCACAACGCCGTTGCTATTTTCTGCCCCAAGGTCCCTTTTTCTCTCCCTTCTACTCCCCAGTTACTCTTTTTTGCTCACCATTTATCTTATTTATATATTTTGTTCTTTTTATTCTACTTGGGTCTTTGCAGAGTGCTCAAATTTTGACTACTCTACCGGGTCACAAAGCAGTTGTGAATTGCACTCACTGGCTCCCAACTGGCAAGTTCCTATTTAAAGGTACCCTCTTTCTCAATCTCTCATCAACTTGAACCCCACAAGCTCCTTCTTTTTTTTTTTTTTACTACCGTATAGTTGCATTTGGATCAGACTATTTGGCATAATTAATATCCCCCAATTTAATATATCTGAACACTTTTTAATGTTTTCATTGACGACACTTTTATATGCAGCAAAACATTTGGAGCAGCATTATTTGCTATCTGGAGATGCAGATGGTGCTATTATTTTGTGGGAACTGTCCCTTATTGATGGGAAGGTACATCACGTTACTTGTATTTTTTCCGTCACTTTTTTGGATCAATAAATTATGAGAGACACTTGTCAGATGCAAACTTTGATGGAATTATTGTTTCTTGTATATTTATCTTTGATCTGTTTGCAGTGGAGGCAAGTGTTACAAGTGCCACAATTGCACAAGAAAGGTGTTACATGCATTAATGGAATTATGGTTTCTCAAACTGAGGCAATGTTTGCTTCTACTTCTTCAGATGGGACTGTTTGTGTATGGGGACTGGTGTTTCCACCAACTGGCAGAGGTAAGTCATAATTCCCCGTGACAATGACCCTGTTTACAGCCATGCTAGTATATTTACTATCTACATTAATTAAGCTTGCTTCGTCATGTTAGGTGACTGTAAACTATCATGCCTGGATTCTTTCTCTGTTGGTTCTAAATCTATGGTAGCCCTATCATTAGCTGAATTGCCTGGAGATAGTGGGCAAATTGTGCTTGCAATGGGAGGATTGGATAACAAGATTCGCCTTTATTGTGGTGAAAGGAAAGGAAAGGTATTTCTTCCCCATAATTGTAGATGATTAATGTGAATGTTCAGATTCTTAATTCTTATAGTTTTATTTGTAGGCTTGTGTTTAAGCTATTTTACTTCTCTTTTACATTTAAACCCAGCTTGTACATGCATGTGAGCTTAAAGGGCATACAGATTGGATCCGGAGTTTGGACTTCTCATTACCAATAACCATCGATGGGGAAGTAAACAATATTTTTCTGGTGAGTTCATCTCAGGATAAAGGCATACGGATTTGGAAGATAGCATTACGCAGCACTATGTCCAATGGACATGGCATATACAGGAAGGAAGAAATAAGTTTATCATCCTATATAGAAGGTCCTGTACTTGTGGCTGGTTCATCCTCTTTTCAGATATCCTTAGAATCTCTTTTAATTGGACATGAGGATTGGGTGTATTCAGTAATGTGGCAACCCCCTTTGGTTACTTCTGTGGAAGGGGAAGCCTATTATCAGCCACAAAGTATCTTATCCGCATCTATGGACAAGACTATGATGATCTGGCAACCTGAAAGGACTTCTGGTGTCTGGATGAATGTGGTCACTGTTGGGGAACTAAGCCACTGTGCTCTGGGGTTCTATGGTGGTCATTGGAGCTCAAATGGAGATTCAATTTTAGCACACGGATATGGTGGATCTTTCCATCTTTGGAAAAATGTTGGTAATGATAATTGGCTGCCACAAAAGGTTCCCTCTGGTCATTTTTCATCAGTTACTGATGTTGCATGGGCTAGATCTGGTGATTATATTATGTCCGTCAGTCATGACCAGGTATTTAAAAACACATTATGACCACAAAAGCTGTATACTATTGATAATTGTTTTAGTTTCTACTGTTGGTGTTTCAAATAATAACTCTTAATATTTTTCATGAATTTGTCTTGGCTCTGAAAATTGTTGCTATGTGAGAAATTGCAGACAACTAGAATTTATGCCCCTTGGAAAGTTGAGGCTTCTCTCCAAGATGGAGAATTTTGGCATGAAATAGCTCGTCCTCAAGTTCATGGTCATGATATGAATTGTATGGCAGTTATTCATAGTAAGGGAAATCATCGTTTTATCAGTGGAGCTGAAGAAAAAGTTGCCAGAGTGTTTGAAGCCCCGTTATCATTTTTGAAGACATTAAATAATGCCACTTTGCAGAAATCTTGTTCTTCTGATGATGTCTTGGGAGATGTTCAGATTTTGGGTGCCAATATGTCAGCTCTTGGACTATCACAGAAACCTATCTATGTTCAAGGTCAGTTATTTCATTGAAAGTTGAAATTGATGGCAATATGATACATAGCCCATGGTTGTTGAGATCATATTGTCAAATGTCAGTACCCTTTCCCATGCTTATCTACTGGTGCTAACTTTTCTAGCAATGACATCTGGTCATGAGCACTTGAATAGATAGAGGCATAGAGCCACTGGTTGAGCCAAAAAATGGAAGCAATCGGTTAAGGAAAAATAAATTATGACCAAGTGGTTTATTAGTCTTGATAGTCGGTAAAATGTAAAATTTTACAAAACTAAATTAGTTACTAATTCCTTGTAATTTATTTGTCTGGGTAATTGGGTAAGTATTTGCCCAACTGATTAAAATGGTTCCATATTTCATATTAACCTAGATGTAGTGAGACTAAAATCCAAAATTTTGTGTTAATGGATCAACTTTGAACTCAAAAGCTAAAATTTACATATTTTGACCTATCCGATCCTGTATTTACTGCTTGTAATGAGCAGTATGCATAGAAATCTGATAATAGTGTAATTAACTCATCTGTTTAAGTATCTGTACAATATATAATCTCTTGGAAACTGCACGTTTAGATTTTCCCTTTTGTGGCCCTGATGTGAACTTTCACCCAGTCATATAGTCATTCCTAACCACTGCCTGGCCTTTTGGAGGATGGCCTTCAAATTAAAAATCTGAGTTTTAGTTTTTTTTTTTTTTTACTTGTTCTTTGTTGGTTTCTTGCACAAATTAATTAACAGTGGTTACTTGTCTAGATTAGGCGGCCTGATTTCTCACAGGTTAGTAAAGAGGTACATTTTTACAGAACTAGCTATGAAGATAAGCTGACTGAGATACTGGTTACTCAAGAATTCAACTGACATATTTGGTGCAAATTTATGTTGTAATCATCCATTGAATATATGTTTTAGGAGTTGGGACATATTGTCTACATCCTCGGTCTTGTCTCTCCTATTGGGGATACCACACCCGAGACATCGCTAACCAGGGAAGCAAAATCCCTTGTTTCATTCTCCCATCTTGAAATTTAACTTCTCAAACAATTATAACTGTATGCTGGTGTGTTAGTCTTGTATAAGTTTATAATTTGACAGTATTTGTTCTACACTGCAGCTATACACGAGACCCCTGAAAGAAGTGGGATCGATGGTCTTGACACCCTTGAAACTATTCCTGACGCAGTTCCAACTGTGTTCACTGAACCTCCAATTGAAGATCAACTGGCTTGGCACACACTCTGGCCGGAATCACACAAACTCTATGGTCATGGCAATGAACTATTTGCTTTATGCTGCGATCATAGGGGTGAGCTTGTTGCTTCTTCATGTAAGGTATGTAGCGTTAGCCTAGCTGTGCACCTGTATTATTATTATTATTATTAGACAGAAGATCTAGTTTCTTACCATATGGAAATCCTCATTGCTTGCATATCTCATGACTTGTGGGATAAATGTTGCTTACTGTGTTATTTCTTCATTCAATGCATTGTTTTCCTACTATGGACTTGAATTGACTTCAACCTAGTTGGCTTCTGTTAGTTTCAACCTTGTTCTGTTTTATTGCTGATGTTGCTATGTATTATTGTGCATGTTTTATGCATTTCAGGCCCAATCTGCAGCTGTTGCAGAGGTATGGCTTTGGCAGGTAGGTTCATGGAAAGCAGTTGGCCGCTTGCAATCCCACAGCTTAACAGTAACACAGATGGAATTCTCACATGATGACAACTTTCTTTTGACTGTCTCAAGGGATCGCCAGTTCTCCGTTTTTTCAGTCACCAGAACAGGTAGACCTATCATCATTGTTTATAGAATGAAGGCATATGGATTTGCACCTTTTCTGCATCATCATTTTGGTGATTTTTCTTGGATGACAATTTGTCATTTCTTGAGATGGAGTAACGAGTCTCAAACCTGCACAAAACTAAGTTTAGGAAACTGATCTAACCATTAGAGCTGCAAAATAATGGCTGAATGAGTAATAGTAATTTAAAGGTTAAATATTTAGAAGTTATTTATTGAACTACTTTAGCACTGCAATAGTTGCAAGTCTCTATTTTGCTTCTGCAACTTGACAGAAATCCTAATCACTGAATTGTGGTTTGTAGGCACTGGTGAAATTAGTTGTAGTCTTCTTGCAAGGCAGGAGGGGCACAAGCGGATTATCTGGTCATGTTCTTGGAATCCACATGGTCATGAATTTGCAACAGGTTCACGGGATAAGACGGTGAAAATCTGGGCCATAGATAGGGAATCATCCATTAGGCAGCTTATGACTTTAGCTCCATTTACGAGTAGTGTGACAGCATTATCTTGGTTCGGTCCCCGACATCAGAAAAATAATGGACTTCTAGCCGTTGGAATGGAAAATGGCCAAATAGAACTGTGGAATCTCTCTTATAATAGAGCAGAGGATGGGAGCATTGCAGCATCAGGCTTGGCTGCTGCTCTTGCTGTACGTGTGGATCCTTTTATATGCCATGCCTCTTCTGTAAACCGTCTCGCATGGAAGAAAAATGAGGAAGATCACGCGAGCATGCAACTTGCTTCTTGTGGAGCAGATAATTGTGTAAGAGTGTTCGATGTAACTGTTTAGTAATTAGATTATTTTTCCCCTTCTTTTTTTATATATCTGTAAAATGATTTTGTCCCCTGTTGCATTGTTCTCCCCAAGAAATAGAATTATTGTCATTAGGAATCTCTTTTTGACCATATAAGCAGAGTTTTGGCGTTTTCTAATATAAAAAAGACTAAGGTTGTTCTGTTAAGTCAAATTTTGTGACATACTACTATTCTATTCAGGGTCTTTGCTCTCTTTTCCCTTCTCTATCGAATGTCCATCATTCTTACCGGTGCAGAGTTCCCGAAAAAAAATGTTATGTTAGGTCAAATCTTGTAACATAATATTGTTACGTTAGATCAAATAAAGGCTGCTCTATTTTCGCTTTAATGTTAAAAAAGTTAAGGTAACAATGTTAGGTCAAATTCTGTAACTAAATATTCAGTTTCTTGTTATTCAAATATATGCTAAAGTTGATATTCTAAAGTCCTTTCCATCAGTCACCATTTTTTGCTCACCGTCATTAAGATCTCGTTCATCCTCGTGCCCGTCATTTTCACAGGGATAGACCTACATGTGTTGCTACTTCTTGGTGTGGAGGCACATGCTTCCTTCCAATTCTATTTTTTTTTTAATATTATTATAGTATTATGTTTTCATTTAAGCTTCATTACCTTTAACTTTCCTCGCATAATGTTAATTTTTTTCGTATTATTTTTCTCATGTGAAGTAAGAAATATTATCTTATTCTCATTTCCCAAAATTTGCAAGAAACCTATCACTGATTATTCCAATGTGCACTAGTGAGATAGATAGATATATAACGTCTGCATCTGATGTAATCTTTTCCTCCAAAAATTTCTCGAATACTGGTCACAAGTTTATCACTTTCTTCTTGTCTGATGAAATTAACGTTGCCATCGTGGTAAGGGTGAAAAGTTTGTAATCAAAACGCTTGAAAGTGAACATTTGGCCGAAAATTTTGTTTTTAGGTATCAATAGGCAAAAACCAAGCATACGCTTGCCAAATCCTTAAATATAGAAAGATTAAATCTGATATATATTTTTTCCTTTAGTGGAAGAAAAAGGATATATATAGTAAAAATTGAAAAGAATTGTAGACTTGTACCTTTATTCCTCCATCTAAAAATTACACGGTTGTCATGAAATTATACATATTCAGTTGTTCAGCTTTTCCCACTTCTATATGTTTACTCTGAACAAAGACATATGCTTTAAATATTCCAGTGAGAATATCTAAACGTGGAATGTGCATTATGACGCAAATATTGTTCACGCTTTCAAGTGAACAACTCTGATCTATTACAGCATCTATGTTTAAGATTGTGGAGCCCCGAGAGGGCAAATGTTTTTGGTGATTATAATTTAAGACAAATGAACACTGTAGTTGGGACTTTATGATGATCCTAAGTGGGTCCCTTGATGGGCAATCCTTCTTGGTGCCCTCCCCAATTTTGAGTGTGGACACTTGACAATCCACCAATACATGAAATCTTGGGAGGGAGAGAATCAAATTTTGAGCTAATGGCTCATTGATTCCCTTTCCATCATTATGGAATTCAGTTCTTGGAAGCAAAGGGATTAACCCATTGAAATATAGCATTAAATTCGGTGGGGTGAACATACACACCTTTGTCCATACTTTTCTGATTATGGGTTTCCGTGACCAGCCCAAGTTCCCACTTTTGAGTTAGGCTCCCTTGGTCAGCAATAATGCATCAATTATGTTCATTGCATCGATAGCATTCTTCTAAGCAAAAACCAGCTTATGGGATGGGGAGGGACCCTGAACTCCGTTGACATTGAATTGGTAGGGACCATGACCATGACCAAGTTATTTGACAAATGCTATATGCGGATGATAATGTTAATTATGAACGCCATGACTCGGAAGGATGCATTAGTTGTTTGAAGCAGAGTCAGCATCAACCACTAGTCCCCGGATTTAATTTTAAGTCAGGGATGACAACATTTGAGTGTTGGCAGGGCCTTCGTAGTGCAAACGTGTAGTTGAATAATATTTAGATTTAAGTATAGTTCTCTTTGTTTTGAATCATATATTATTTCTATTTGGTTTTGGCCAACAGAATTGTGCTTCTCCCAAGTATATAACCAGGTCAATCTACTCACGTAAATCCTAACTTTTAAACCTCGTACAGTTAAACTATTCTTATATTAAGCACTAGCTAGTACTTAGTGCACTGTTGAATACAATAAAACATCGAATCTAATGTACTTTGCCACTAAGCTCGCATGAAATTCAGGGAAACCAACATATGCAACGTGCACTCTGTTATGCAGGGTTTATTTTAATCTTGAAATTCACTATACGTTAAAAATTCCTATCAATCAAACACTTTTACTAAACACGATTAACATACCATTGTGTCTTGGTCTATCAGTTGGTATAGCTTCCGCTAAGTGCCAGCCTTTGTCATAGTTGCTCCCGTAAGCACAGTATAGCGTTTGAATTGAGAGCCTCTAGTTGCCTTAACAATGTAAAATTATTGCTTCTGCCTTCTGTTACGTATTCGTGCATTACATGAAAAGCATGCCATTGTGCCGGGGTAAGACAATTACAAACGCAGTGTTTTTCACGTGTGATCAATTTTTATAGGACTACCTAATTTCTGTATAAAGTCATACTCTTGCAGCTTGAAATGATCATCATAAAGGATCCACTTGATTGTCTAGAAGCAAAATCGGAAGAAATTGTGCTTTTCGGTTATGCGTTGAATGATAATTCACGGTGTAGCTTTCATCAAAGAGAATCAAATTCAAACTAAAACTTGCAAGGACATTTTTGTTTGGTCATGCGCAGCAAAACCTAGTCAATCAGCAGAAAAAAGATTTTCCCACACAGAAAATGATAAAGGGGAATAAAAAATTGTGGTCCTTCAAGGCAGTGGTCATATAAGGTGTTCCAAGGACAACTTTATCCTAGCACAAGATGATCATTCCTCTTGCACTTGCCCAAACTGCTAGTCCAAAACTTCAAATGGTCACATCCATTGCACTTGTCAACAGGATTGGTTTATCATGAACCACGAACCACAAGACCAGAGCAAGAAACGATGCCCGCTAATTTATATGACAATCATTTCAGGAATTGATATTTGAACTTCACAATACAATGTTTCAGACTCGAACTTTTACAGTATAACCTTGGACCAATTTCCTTTCCTATAAATTATGACATACAAGAAAGAGTACAAGATGATCACAGTTTCTTATTTTTCTATCGCAAATACATACCACAAACTGTTACCAAACATGACGACAGGAACTGCATATAAAACTTAAAAGGGAAACCAAACCCATTTTTTTCAAAATTGTTTCTTTTTAAAGGAGGACTAGTTTATAATGGCTGTGAGGTTCTCATCTGCTGCTTCACACCCTCTGAGGGATGCTGAGCAGAAACTTCCGGCATCACCACAGCAGCAGCTGTCATGGTCTGGTACTGTGAAGGCATTGTGGGTGCCAGAGGTTGAGAGTAGTATATTTGAGCATGAGCAGGGTCTGCATAATCAAAAGCATAGTTGGGAGGGGCAGCAGAATTGGGGGCTATGGACTGAGATGGATGGTGGATCTGGGAGTAAGTGACATATTGTTGCTGATGCTGACTTGTAGGAACTTGAACTAATTGAGGGGTGCCTGCAGTGGCACCTCTGTAACCAGCTGCTGGCATTTCAGTTTTAGGTAGGGGAGCGTTTCTAATGGCATTGTAAGCAGCAGACTGTGGAACCAATGTAGCAGGATTCGGTGGAGTCTGGGGCCGGCTAGAAGGGATGGCAGCATTAGATTCGCCCATATTAGCCTGTGGCACGGGCAAATTATAAGCTTGGGCCTGTCTTGCAGGCACATAGTAAACCTGGGGATGTTGGTGATGGGGCTGCTGCTGGGAAGGATATACAGGATAGTATGTAGGAATTGCAGGGTTATGGTGAATGAAATGTGTGCCGTGTATAAACTGCTGCTGCTGCTGCTGAGGCGGCAGCTGCTGCTGTTGCTGATCAAATTGCTGTTGCAATAAATATCCAGGGTCCTGTACATGTTGCTGCATCTGGATCCGACCATGCGGATCAGACACATTAAGCTTCGGATCCACAGGGTTACTAGGAACCCTTGTAGTCCCAGATTGAATCTGAACTTGGTCTTGATAGACTGGTTTTGGACGCGAAATTGCATTGAGACTACTATCACTGCAGCATCAAAACACCCATCAAAAACCTAATTCAGATACCACTAAACCATCACCGTATATAAACTTACAATCAAATCAAACATAACACGACCCATATGAACGAATGATCCAATGTCGATATTCAAATAAAAAGATAATTAATTCCCATCAAAATCCAGATAAAAAGGAAAAGGAAGTTGAGAATACCTTGAAACTGAATCAGGAGAAGGCAAATCAACAACGCCGCCACCGGTTGACTTTTGTTGAAATTGAGGAGCGTGCGTTTGGGTCTGAGTCTGTGTCTGCAACTGTGCCTGTGGCTGAGGAGTTGGTGGTTTTCTATACCCCACGGGAACCCCATGATCGGATCTCTCATCATCAGAAACAACCCGGTTTTGGTACTCACCAGCCACCGCCGTAGGGCCAATCGGCACACCCACTGCTGCGGCGGAGAGGGTAGCAGGCACTGGCGGCGGAGGCGGCGAAGACAGCACCACGAAGCCCTCATCCTGCTTCTGCCCAACACCAACACCCACACCCACACCCATCTGAGCAAACTGTTCCTCAATCCCCAACACCTTCTGATCCTGCACCCTAACCCCACCCCCATCCTCCACGTGGACCCTAATCGGAGGCAAATTGGCCAGCGACGGCGACGAAGAAGTAGACCCAAACGACGACGTAGTCTCCAACATAGGCGAATCGGGAACGGAGTGAACATCCTGCTTCAAATTCTTCCCATTCCCAAAAGATCCAGGCTGCGAAGAACCACCACCTTCAGCAACATCCCTCGAACCGGGTTCAAGGTTGTTCCCGGCGACCTCGTCATCAAGACCCAAAAGGCAATTAACAGAAGCAGAATCGGAAAACCCTCGATTGAGCAATCCGGCGCCGTTTAGGGCGTTGAGGAACCAATCATCGGATTTGGCGGAGGTATCGAGAATCTGAGGGGGAATAGAGTGAGTGGAATCGGGTTTAGTAGGGAAGAGAAAGAGACGAATTCGCGAGGGTTTGACGGAGGAATTAGCGGCAGTAGTTCGATCGTACTCGTCGATCATGTTCTCCAAGTCTTCATCGGTTGTAACGGAAATGAGGGAATCGAGGTCTTCGTTGGGGAGCTGGTACTTGAGGGTGAAGGTTCTTCCGTTCAGGAAGGTTTTCGAGAGGCGCGTGGAAAGGTCCGCGAGTGAGGTGTTGCGTTCCACCACGATGATGCGGGTGTCGCCGCCGACGTAGCAGAGGGACTTATCGTGAGGGCGAGGGACGATGTGTCCACCGTAGCTGCACATGAGGCGGAGCTTGGTGGAGGCCGGCGGGAAGGGTTCGTCCCAGGAGTCGGTGTTCCTGGAGCGTGGGGAGGACTCGACGGAATCGGGGTAGTTGAGGTGAGGTGGCGGCGGAGCCACCGAGGACAGCGGCGGAGCGGTGGAGGGCGTTGGAGGTTGGGCCTCCATGGTGGTTATTGGAGAAATAAGGTTTTTGGTATGGTCGGATTGGTTTGGTTTGGTTAGGCCGCTGCTGCCTCCTTTGCAGCGCAAAGAGAGAGAGAAAAAAGAGGGGTTGTTGTTCTCTGCGGGATGCTCTTATAGTAGTGACTTGTTTTTTTTATTTAATTTTTATTGAATTGGATTTTATTTTTAGTTTTTGTTTATGAAATACTGTGGGAAAGGGCAACTGAAAGGAGGATGGGGGTTTGAGTTTGACAGCTTGTTTACTGGTTGGACCCACTTGGGTTCCCTTCTCTCTGTTCCCACTAAACCATGCAGATCAACACTTTTTTCTAATTTTTTTCAAGGATACCCTTTTTTTTAATTTATAATTTTTTTTCAAAAATATAATGTTTATGACTATTAAACTATCCAATTTTTATCGTTCTAAATTATTAGTGTTTTACCTTGTTCTGTACATAACAAGGTAAAACATTCAAGTAAAATAAGAAATAAATACTTCAATCATATCTTATACATTGATGTGTTTTTCATTGCATTCTTGTCAATTATTGGATAAAATTTAAAATAAAAAAGTTGATTGAAACTATTAAAACTAAAAAAGGTGAACTTGTATAAAAAAGTTATTTCATTGGACAGTTAGCAAGCATGCATAGTGCGAAGGTGGTGTTTATGGTGCAATTTTGGAACCATAATGAGGGAAACAGGGTGTTTAGCCGCAAGTGGGGGTGGTGAGTAAACATGGAGCTGACGTAACGTAACCAGGCAGTGCCGTTTTTAACTTAAACGGATAGCATACGATACGGAAGAGCACAAGATACAAATATACCAGCATTAGCATAAGCAACGCGGTTACGCTTAAAAGCAATGAGCAGTTTCCACGCGCTTTTACTTTACACTTTTGGGCATACAAGGCGCGTGGGAATAAGGGAATGAACTGGAGTGAACGGCGCCCAAAGCTGCAACGCTGTAAAGTGACAACTGACAACTGCCACAGTAACGTTTTCACCTGACGCTAAGTGCTAACGAGGATTGCCATCTATGCTCACACAATACACATCAGCGCCTTACCTTAAAAGTTATAACTAAACAACCTTAATCAATAATACTCATTTTACTTTATTTATTTATTTATTTATTTCATTCTTTCTTACTTTATTTTTTCATATTAATAGATTATAAGCTACCGAATATAAGCGTAATCGGTAGCCATTCCTATGCCGACATTACCCTTTCCTTTCACCGTGTTTGGAAATTTTCCTATTAATAGGTTATTTTACAATTTGCAGATTTTTCATATGAAAACCGTTCGTAACGTATAGCATAGCTGTTTTTAATATATATTTATTTAAAACACATGGTTTAATTGTCGTTTGTTATTACTTACAATTTTTTCAACATTAATTTTTTTCAAAATATTTTATTTGTTTATTTTTTTGTTGAATTATGTTTTCTTTACAAATATCAGATATTTATATTTTAAAATTAATTTCATCTAAACTTTTTAAAATCTGATTCCTTCTCTTTTAAATTTAAAATGTTTATGAAACTTGTTTATTTGAATGTTTTGTAAATTTATATTCTAAAAAATTACTTAAACGAAAAAAAACTGAATATTGCGTAAAGTTATTAATTTTCTCTAGATGTTTATGTGTGTATCGAGAACACGCGTTTATCGTCACATAAATAAATTAAGTGCACGTCTGTTTAATTTATTTTATAAGAATAATTATTTTTGAAAACATAATTTTTAAATAACTATTTTCTCAAAATATGACATTTGTGTGTGGGCACTTCCAGCGAATGTTCGAATATGTCATGGCCAACTCATGCATGACCCACATCCTTTGACAAAAATTAAAATGTGGGCCCACCTCCAACGGTGTTCCAAGTTAACGAAGCTAAGAACGAGGAAGCGATCAAACTGCAACAATACTAGGGTTTGAGTTGATGATACAGTGACAGTGCATTTGTAAAAACCATTTTAATGTTTGCTATTTTTAGTATCAGTAGAGGAACAGTAAAAGCTATGTTTATATTTATAACGACGTTAACTAATTATATCAAATGATGCGAATCATTGAAATAAAGGACGTGACCTCTTGTATTATTTACATGTTAAACAAGTTTATTTAGATGTTAATTCACTATGTCATAAGTCATCTTGTACGCATAGAATGCTGAATGTAGAAATATGTTTACTTAAGTAGATATTAGATTGTGCATTTAAATCAATTGGCCATTGGGCTGCTAACCATCTCAGAGGGTTAACAAGCTTTGTTGAACTGTCCTATAACACACATATAATTTTTTTACCAAAATTCACCACTAATAATTTTGATAAATTTCTATATTTTTTTCAAATTTTCTTAAAATACCATATTTTAATATTTTTTTCATATAAAAAACCCAGTAAAAATGTATGCATTTAAAATTATTCTAAAATGGAGCATAAGTCTCTCTATTACACTTTAGTCATGGGGAAGGATGTACAACATAAAAAGATCGGTGTAAGTTGAAAATAATTTCATGTGCAGGAAGAACAAACACTAAATCATTATTAAAACTAAAATAAAACGATGTCACTTCTTTCATGATAGCATATTTTTCTTTATTCTTCAATTAATTTTTTTTGTCTACATTAAAAGCATTTTTAATTTTTTAAAATGTCTGACTTATTGCGATGTTCGAGGATATGTTGTTGCCCACTTGATAAATTCACATGTGTAGTGGATAATAATCATTTTTAGTTGAAGCTCTTTAATAAATCAAGTTTAGGTGTAAATCTTAGACATCATTTGTATTTTTAGCATTTCTATTGTATCGATGGCTGTATATTATAAGTTAATATATGTCCAAATTGATCATTTTGAGTGAATTTATTTATATAAGGTTCACTCGAAAGATAAAAACAAAAGGAATTGTTGGATTAAGAAACGTTGAAACAAAAGAAAATAAAAAATAGAAGTTAGAATGTTAGCCTCAAGGTGAAAGAAAAAGCTATCTAAACACTCAAATTTTAGCGTTTAAACACTTACCTAACTAAGAAGTGTTTTTCTTTCCTCTAATAACGTGCATTTGAACGTTCAAGTCTTAACATTTGAACATTTGCTAAAAATGTTATATTTTTCCTTACTGTCACTTGCACATTCATACATACAAATATTACATTTTGAATAATATTTGAAAACAGTTGGATTTTTCCTGGTGACGTACGTGTGTTAAAACACTAGAAATTTAACGCTTTAACCCTAAAAAATCTTGTACAGATCATATGTAAATAGATTTTCTCAATAGAATGACAATAATTTTTATGATTTTTTTAGAATTTATTTCTAAATTAATGAAACCTATAACTATAACTCGTGTTAGCAATCTCTTTGGGAGCACCGGTGCATTATTATGATATCATTGCTTCTGATTTTTTTTTTCTTTTATTTTCTTGTTCATACACTGTGATGTAATAAATTCTTAACCAAAAAAATAAATTTTCTCGAAAAGATATTTTCTTGACAACAAAATTTACCAATAATTAATAAAAGAAAACAAACATTTATTTAGTTCTCAAAACTGACAAACTTAGTCAGTTTAATATTTAACATTATGAAAACACACATCAATGTAATCCTTAAAATTGGCTTTCTAATCAATCTAGTCTTTTATATTACGGCAAATAAATAAATAACTTTTGCTTTATGATTAATTTTTTTCTTTTAAGTATTAGGGACTGTGGTAGTATCAATTTTATAGATAAAATTAATTGATAAAGTTATGGAATATTTTCCATAATATTAAAAGCCAAATAATCTTAAGACTGAGTTATTTATAATTTTAAAAAAATCAACACCTTTTGTGACAGTAAAAACATATTATGGCTTAAAGACAAACTAGGTGGAAAAGAATGTCTCTGTTTGGGGACAAGATCAATCTTGAACAATATAATATATCAGTGACAAAACGTAAAAAGAAGAAAGGGTGCTTTTACCATAGGCATGTTATGATGCATCATTGAATTGTTGTATAGTCAAGATTCAAAACATAGTGATAATATATTTGAGCCGAAGTAGAGAAAGTTATGGATTGAATTTGGAATGTCATGTGTTGGGGGTTACTAAAGCCTACTAAAATTGAATATTCCCCCTATTAATGCTGATCTAAGACAAACACTAGGCTTTCATAAAAGGAGGATGATATGGACCCACTCTCCCAACTTGGTATGGAATTTCCACTCCAATGACATGGAAAATGAGGTGGGTCTAAACTCTTTCTATGGGTCCATCATGCCTAATTTACTGTAATTTTTTGGCTTAGTATTCCTAATCTAATCCTATGTGATTCTTTGTAGGTGGTCAATCATGACACTTCTCTCTATTCTGTTTGTCCCTACAGAAAATTTCACGGTCTTACAAGAAGCACTTATTGAATAACTGCTAAAAATTTGATATGCATTTGTATAAAAGATACAGAACAGTGATTTTTTTTTCAGTTTAATTTTTTTCTTTGTCGATGAAGAGCACATGTTTAAATATCTTCAAAAGATTTTTTTTCCATGCATTAAACTCTTAACTACAAATTTACTTTAGCAGAATTGTTTATACATCACACAAGCCAAATACTCATTAGTAAAATGTGTCAAATTTAGAGCTAAGCAAAAATCTTTAGTAAAAATAGAAAATAAAAATACATAACGTTAAAAAAATACTAATTCACTAAAAAATACCTAAAAGTCCTCTTATTCAAAAATAAATATTCAAAATTAAAATTAGTTTATTATTTGTCTAACTTTGTTGGTTAAAAAATTTATTTGCCTGAAAAATTATATTTTTAATAGGAATTGCATCTTTTGTTAATGAATTGAGTAATAAATAAATTAACATGCGAGGAATACCGTACCGGTCTTTAAGCGACGAACCAGCCCTTAATGGTTTGTTGGACTTGGGCTGGTAAGCGTATCTGAAACAAATTTAAACTCACAACTAAACTGATTAAATGATAAAAAAAAAAAATATTAATGATTTTTCCACCAAATAAAATAAAATAAACACACACAAAAACTCATTAAAATAAATCGGACAAGTTTTTCACAAACACCCTTAATAGTTGTTAACAACCTGAAATCTCAAAAGTCG